CCCGCCGCACGCAGACGCGGCCTCCGCGCCGGGTAGCTTCACGTTCGTGGAAGCGGCCGAGTCTGGCCGAGGAGGGGGCTGGAGGGAGAAGGTAGTTCCAGCTACTTTTTTTTAAAATTCTTTCTTGGTGTGTCCGCTGTGGGTCTTGAACTCGGGGCCCGGGCGCCGTCCCTGAGCTGTTTTGCTCTCTCACCTGAGCCGCAGGCCACTTCCGGCTTTGCTCGCGGTTGAGGGGAGGGCAGAGTCTCTCGGACTCACCTGTCCAGGCTGGCTTCCGACAGCGATCCTTGGCTCCCAGCCTCCCGAGTAGCAGAATTATGAGCATGGGCCGGCCTGGCTTCGGCTACCTTTTAATTGAGGCTCTATCCCTCCCATTCCTGGAACCTTTTACTTTGAAAAAACGTTTTTCATCTTGTTTTAAAATGTATCCTCTACCACATACTGGCAGTTTAAAATACGTGCCGCCAAAGCACATATGCTACTGTTTTAACAATTTTTTTTTTTCCTCATGACATTTTATAATGCCATGTAGTTCTTATTTTGCATGGAAAAGCCAAAAGATACCGGAAATTAATGTCATCCTATTTTCTTATACAGCATTACTTTTCTCATTGAACTTTAGACTTATTTTTTTTTTTTCGGGTAACATATTAAGTATTTTTAAGTTCATCACTCTGTCAGACATTAAAACTGTTGGCGGCAAAGAACCAATAAAGGAAAGCAGAGGCAATATCTGAGATGAACTACTTGTTAAAAGTAAGCCAGGTGCTGGTGGCTCACGCCTATAATCCTAGCTATTCAGGAGGCTGAGATCTGAGGATTGCAGTTCAAAGCCAACCCAAGCAGGAAAAGTCCATGAAACTCATGTCCAATAAACTACTCAGAAAAGGCTGGATGTAGTGCTGTGGCTCAAGTGGTAGAGCACTAGCTTTGAGCACAGAGAAGCTCGGGGCAGTGCCAAGGCCCTCAGTTCAAGCTCCAGGAACAGCAAAAAAACCCCAAAAAAACCAAAAGTTGTCCTTTCTGAGTTCAAGCACCAGTACCAGCATAAAAGTGAACGATACCTTTTTTTTAAGTAACTGTCTTTGAATGAGGAGCTAACCATGCCGTTACCTTGACAGATTTCACAGAGATGATGAGGGCCCTAGGATACCCACGACATATTTCTATGGAGAATTTTCGCACACCCAATTTTGGACTTGTTTCTGAAGTGCTTCTCTGGCTTGTGAAAAGGTTAGCACAACATTAGATGCTTCTGGAAGTGACATATTTAACCTTAGTGCCTGTCTTGATTTCAAGGGCCATTAGCTACTCACAATTCTGATTACTTGGAGGTCTTAAATAGATTTTTTTTTGTCTGTAGTGGGCCTTGAACTCTGGGCCTGGGCTCTGTCCCTCAGCCCTTCAGCTCAAGGCTAATGCTCTACCACTTGAGCCACTGCCAGTTTTCTGGTGGTTTATTGGAGATAAGAATCTCATGGAAGGAGTCTGAGATCTGAGGATAGAGGTTCAAAGCCAGCCTGGGCAAGAAAGTGAGATTAATGGCCAATTAATCACCAGAAAACCGGAAGTGGCACTATGGTTCAAGTATTAGAGTGCTAGCCTTGAGCTGAAGAGCTAAGGGATAGCAGACAGGCCCAGAATTCAAGCTCCACGACCCACAAAAAAAAAAGTCTCATGGACTTTCCTACCTGGGCTGGCTTTGAACCTCTGTCCTCAGATCTTAGCCTCCAAAGTAGCTAGGATTACAGGCGTGAGCAGACGGCACCTGGCTAGATTTATTTTTGAAAGCTGAGTCCTGAATTTGATTTTTAAGTCGCTATACCAGTTCTTAGGGGGGCTGTGCTCTGTTGGTAATTTGTGTTACTTTTTTTTGTTGTTGGTCATGGGGCTTGAACTCTGGGCCTGGGTGCTGTCCCTCAGCTCTTCAGCTCAAGGGGAATGCTCTACCACTTAAGCTACAGTGCCACTTCCAGTTTTCTGGTGCTTTATTGGAGATAAGAGTTTCACGGACTTTCCTGCCTGGGCTGGCTTTGAACTGCGATCCTCAGATCTCAGTCTCCTGAGTAGCTAGGATTACAGGCGTGAGCCAACAGCACCCAGCTTGTGTTACTTTTGAATTTTTTTTTTTTTTTTAATCTTAGCATCTTGGCCAAGGCCTTAGAGCCTCATGCTAGCAACCCACTTTCTCTTTGACAGACTTTTTGTAGGTTGACTCATGTTTGCTCTCTTCCTGATAGGTATGAGCCTCAAACTGACATCCCTTCAGACATTGATACTGAGCAAGACCGAGTTTTCTTCATTAAGGCAATTGCCCAGTTCATGGTTAGTTCAGTTATTTTGTGGGATTGTGAAAGTAAGGAAGGAAGGGATGTGTCCTGGTTAGGGCTAACTTTGAAATTGAATAATAGGGCTTACTTTCTACAACATTCCGTTGCTAGCTTTCTGTGGCATCATAAACAAAAAGTTATTTTATTGGGGGAAGCCTACTTCATTACTTGTTTATTTTTAATAAATATTATGTTTTATGGTTCAAATATTTTTAAAATGGTAGAGTACAGTAACATTCTACTTTGTCTACTCTGGGCTCAACTCTACTTTGTTGGTTTATTGTTTTGTTGGTCAGGGGACTGGGCACTGTCAGAGTCTAAGTGCTGTCCCTGAGCTCTTTGCTCAAGGTTAGTGCTCTACCACTTTGAGCCACAGATCCAATTCTGCTTTTTGAGTGGTTAATTGTAGCTGAGGCTCATGGGGACTTTTTTCCCCAGCCTAGCTTTAAACTGTGATCCTTAGATCTCAGCCTTCCGAATAGTGAGGATTACAGGTATGAGCCACTGGTGGTGGTTCAGTTCTACTTTCAATAGCTATTTTAAGTTTCTTTCAGAGCTTCTTATGCATACCTAAGCAAATAATACATGTTCTTTTTCCATAAAACTTCTTGTACATAGCTGCTATATACCACTATGTAACATCTTTCTTTCTTCACTTATTAGTATGTTTTGGAGAACTTTCCAAATACATAAAGAATGCTTCCAGATGGGCTTTGGTGGCTCATGTCTATAATCCTAGCTACTCAGGAGGCTGAGACCTGAGGATCCCAGTTCAAAGCCAGCACAGGCAGTAAAGTTTGTGAGACTGACTCTTTATCTCCAATTAACTAGCAGAAAACTGTAAGTGTTGCTATGGCTCAAAGTGGTAGCGTGCTATCCTTGAGCAAAAGAGCCCAAGCACAACATCCAAGCCTTAAGTTCAAGCCCTATGACCAACAACAACAACAAAAAAAGAATGCATTCATCTGGCAAAGTGGCTTAATGGTAGAGTGCTTGCCTAGCATGCATGAAGTCCTAGGTTTGATTCCTCAGTACCACATACACAGATAAAAGCCTGAAGTTCTGCTGTGGCTCGAGTGGTAGAGTGCTAGTCTTGGGCCAAAGAAGTTCAGGGACAGAGCCCAGGCCCTGAGTTCAAGCCTGAGGACTGGCAGGGGGAAAAATGTGTTCGGCCCTGTTTTTCATTGGTTGTTATTGTGCCTGGGCTGTGATTCTGCTTGTGCTCCTTGGCATTGCTGTGGATGACAAGCATACCCCACTTCCTCCAGCCGCTGTGCTCCCCAAGGGGCACATGGCACCTCATTCAGCCATTGGTTGAGATGGCGTCCTGAGAACTTTTATGCTTAAGTGGGCCTAAAACTTCAATCTGCCAACCTCTACTTCCCAAGAAGTTAGCATTTCAGGCTTTTGCCACCACGCTCAGCCTTTTGTTCTCTTAAACTTGATTCATATTGCTTGCAGGGGCTCCCATGATTTATGTAACATGTAAGTATTTAATTGATTTCCAAATTTTACTCTTTGAAACAATACTGTAATAAATAATCTATTCCTATCATTTTGTGTATGAGTATATCTCTCGAGAAAATCCTTAGGATTGTAATTTTGGGGTCAGAAGATAGGTGTATTTGTTATGTTGGTGTCTTTTACCAAAATGATCTCCATTACTTAGGTATTTTAACCTTAGTTATTGGCAGAGATTTTTTCAAATTATCTACATGGGATTTGATTTAGACATTTCATGGAAAGGGCCTTAATCATTGTGTGTGTACATCTAAAAATAGGCCACAAAGGCGCATATAAAACTCAATACCAAGAAGCTCTACCAGGCAGATGGGTATGCGGTGAAAGAACTATTGAAGATCACATCTGTGCTTTATAATGCTATGAAGAGCAAAGGGATGGAAGGCTCTAAAATAGGAGAGGAAGACGTCAGCAAGTTCAAGTTTGATCTAGGCTCCAAGGTAAGGACGGTGCAAAGTGTGCAGCTGGGGATAGTTGTCTACCCTCAGACTTGGGGATGGGATGTGGCTGACACTGGAAGTTCTTTCTTATTGCTTCACTGAGGACAGCTGATCAGTTTGTTGCACTAAATTAATTCAACTGTTTGAATAAAGCCTGTCATTTGCCAGGTAGTGGTCAAATACTGAGGATGCAGGTGAGAACAAAGGAGACAGAAACAGGGTTTCCATGCTTAGTTGGAGGAGTCACACTGAACAGCAGGAGTAAAAGCACAGGTGGTCCAGTGTAGTTATTCTGCCCTACAGAATGACAGAACAGGGGCCAGGGATGGAGGGCTGCCTGGATTGGATAGCTTCTCAGCAAAGATCTGAGAGAAGAAAGGCCATACTGGCAAGGGTGGGAAAAGGTGTTCCAGGATGAGCATGTGCTTGTGTGTCTGAGGAACAGCAGGGAGGCCCTGTGGGGAGAGCCATGGGGGAGGCGGTGACAGCCCCTCCAGCCCCTGGAAAGCCTTCGATTTGATACTGAGGTGGAAAATGGAATTTTGAGCAGAGATGTACCTATTAAAAGCATCATTCTTGGGCTGGGAAGGTGGCTCAGTGGTAGAGCACTTGCCTTGCATGCATGAGGCCCTGGGTTCGATTCCTCAGCACCACATAAGCAAAAAGCTGGAAGTGGCACTGTGGTTCAAGTGGCAGAGCCCTAGCCTTGAGCTGAAGAGCTGAGGGACAGCGCCCAGGCCCAGAGTTCAGGCCCCACAACCGGACCAAAAAAAAAAAAAAAAGCATCATTCTGAGCTGGTTACCTGGTCTCTCACACCTGTAATTTAGCTACTTAGGAGGCTGAGATCTGAGGATCATGGTTCAAAGCCAGCCTGGGCAGGAAAGTCCATGAGACACTTATCTTCCAAGTAAACACCAAAAAACCGGAAGTGGCGCTATGGCTCAAATGGTAGAGTGCTTGCTTTGAGCTGAGGGACAGTGCCTAGGCCCAGAGTTCAAGCCCCATGACTGACCAAAAAAAAAAAAAAAGATCACTCTGACAATTCACTCTATGAAGGTTAAAATGTGTTTGTGACATTAGCTAAGTATCACTATCCCACAATATTGTGAAATTTATGTAATCACTTAGTAAAGAAATTAAAAAGAGGGCTGGGAAGGTAGCTCAGCGGTAGAGTGCATGCCTTGCAAGCATGAGGCCCTGGGTTCGATTCCTCAGCACCACATAAACAGAAAAAAAGAAATTAAAAAAAAATAAATGATCATTCTAGTCAGGCATGGTATCACACCCATGCTACTAGGGAGGCTGAGACTACATGAGTGCTTGAACCTAGGAGTTCAGCTGTTGCAGGATACTTGTCTTGTCAGCTTTCTCTTGCCTATACCTCCTGTTGCAGATTCAGATTCAGCCTGACTTGACATTTGGTTTCAGAGAGATTAGAAGTCCAGAAGTTAGTTTGTGTTCCCAAACAGTTCCTTGGAACTCCTGGGGGTGGGCTTCTGCCTAAAGGTTACAACTCACCTTAACAGACTGCTGCTGAGTGTTATCAAAACCTGAGGCTCCTATTTTTGTTTGCCCTCAAGATCTCAGATTTGAAAGCAGCCAGGCAGCTGGCTTCGGAAATCACCGCCAAAGGAGCATCTTTGTATGACTTGTTGGGAAAGGAGGTCGAGTTGAGGGTAAGTAATGTACAGAGAAAAGGAAGTATAGATGGATTTTTGTTGGCCCTCTCTCCATCCGGACCATCTCTGTTGGTGTTCTAACACATCCCCAATTATCTCTGAGATAGAGATTATCAGACTCACTACTATCAAGTAATTTTTTTTTTTTTTTTTTTGTGGGTCATGCGGCTTGAACTCTGGGCCTGGGCGCTGTCCCTCAGCTCTTCACTCAAGGCTAGTGCTCTACCACTTGAGCCACAGCACCACTTCTGGTAATTTTTAAGTAGAGTTGGTCCTATTAAGAGACTTGAATTATTTACTTACTTATTTTTTGTTGATTGTGGGGCTTGAATTTTGGGCCTGGGCACTGTCCCTCAGCCCTTCAGATCAAGGTGATCTCTCTACCACTTGAGTCACACGCCACTTCTGGTTTTTCTGGTGGCTAATTGGAAATAAGAGTCTCATGGACTTTCAAGCCTGGGCTGGCTTTGAACCATGATCCTCAGATCTCAGCCCCTGAGTAGCTAGGATTACAGGTGTGAGCCACTAGCGCCCTGAGGAGACTTGATTTTTACCTTTGTTTATTTGTAAATGGGATGGTCCATCCTTAAAGCTCTTAGTTCTTTGAAAACTTGCAGTTTCAGCTGAAAATTTAGCAAACTATTAAAAAGGAAAAACCTCTAGAATTACTGTTTAAGAAATTGAAAAGCGGGGCTGAGAAGGTGGCTCAGTGGTAGAGCGCTTGCCTTGCATGCATGAGGCCCTGGGTTCGATTCCTCAGCACCACATAAGCAAAAAAAAAAAGAAATTGAAAAGCCAGGGCTGGGAAGATGGCTCAGTGGTAGAATGCTTGCCTTGCATACATGAGGCCCTGGGTTCGATTCTTCAGCACCACATAAGCAGAAAAAGGTGGAAGTGGTGCTGTGGCTCAAGTGGTAGAGTGCTAGCCTTGAGCTGAAGAGCTGAGGGACAGCGCCCAGGCCCAGAGTTCAGACCCCACAACCGGCAAAAAAATAAAAAAAGAAAAGAAATTGAAAAGCCACTGGCTCATACCTGTAATCCTAGCTATGTGGAGGCTGAGATTAGGAGAGCAAAGTTTCAGGCCAGTCTAAGCATCCAAGGCAGGCTCCCTTCTCAACCACTTGCTGAGTGCAGGAGCATACATATGTCATCCTTGCTATGTAGGAGACTGAAATTCAAAGGATTGGGGTTTTAGGCCTGTCTAGGCAGAAAAATACATGAAAGTCCATCTCAGTGGAAGAAGATGAATATAGTAGTGCACACCTATCATCTTACCTATTATGGAAAGTGAAAAATAGGTGGATTACAGCTCCAGCACATGCCCAAGCAGGAAGCAAGACTTATGTAAAAAATAACCAAGCCAGGTGCAGGTGGCTCACGCCTGTCATCCTAGCTACTCAGGAGGCTGAGATCTGAGGATCACCGTTCAAAGCCAGCTGGGGCAAGGAAAGTCCATGAGACTCTTATCTCCCAATTAACCACCAGAAAACTGGAAGTGGCGCTGTGGCTCAAGTGGTAGAGCACTTGTCTTGAGCTGAAGAACTGAGAGACAGCGCCCAGGCCCCGAGTTCAAGCCCCATGACCACGAAAACAAACCCAAAATTTAAAAGGATTGGAGGCATAGCTTACATGGTAGAGAGCTTGCCTAAATGCAGTACCCTGAGTTCAATCCCCAGTACGAGGAGGGATGAGGAAGGGAAAAACTTTTTGAGCAGGCAAAGATGATACACACCTGTAATTCCAGCTGCTTGGGAGGCTAAGGATGCAAGATTTTGAGTTCAGGCTCAACCTGGGCAGGACTCCATCTCGAAAAAAATTTAGCAACCAATGGGAGAAACTTTTTCTGAAAGAATGTGTAAATTGTTCTGTTTCCCCTAGGAACTGAGAACTGAAGCCATTGCCAGGCCGCTGGAAATCAACGAGACTGAGAAAGTGATGAGAATTGCAATAAAAGAGGTTTTGGTAAGATTATATTGCTTTTATCTTACATATTTGTGCCTGGGACTCAAAACAATTTCCTTCCCCCATCAGGCAGAACCAGGTATGCTTAGTAACCAGCACTATTTCAAGGAGAATCTGAAGGATTTCTAAGACATCTATTGTTTCCCCTCAGAAATAAATAAGAGCAGTTTATCATGGTCTTAAAAAATGAGTAGGTTTAGCTAGGGTGCCAGTGGCTCATGTCTATAATTCTAGCTACTTAGGAGGCTGAGATCTGAGGATCACAATTCAAAGCCAGCCTGGAAAGGAAAGTCTGTGAGACTCTTATCTCCAATTAAACACCAGAAAAAACTGGAAGTGACACTGTGGTTCAAGTAGTAGAGTGCTTGCCTTGAGCTGAAGAGCTCAGGAACAGTGCCCAGGCCCAGAGTTCAAGCCTCAGAACCACCACCAACAACAACAAAAAGAATAGTTTTGATGATTTCATAATTTTCGATGTTTTAATAATTTTAGTGAACACAGCTCTATTTAATCTTTTTTATTTTTTTGGGTCCGGTGGTGGGGCCTGTACTCTGGGCCCTGGGCACTGTCACTCAACTCTTCAGCTCAAGGTTAGCGCTCTACCATTTGAGCCACAGCGCCACTTCTGGCTTTTTTTCTTTTTGCTTATGTGGTGTTGAGGAATCGAACCCAGGGCCTTATCATGCAAGGCAAGCACTCTACTACTGAGCCACTTTCCCAGCCCCTCTGAGCACTTTTTGCTGAAGTCTATTCTACAACTTTGAGCCACAGCCCCACTTCCAGTTTTTGAATGGTTAATTGGAGATAAGAGTCTCAGAGGGACTTTTCTTTATGACCCTCAGATTTCAGCCTCTGAGTAGCTAGGATTATAGGCATGATCCACCACTGCCCAGCTTATTTTATTTTATTTTTTTCGTCGGTCGTGGGGCCTGAACTCTGGCTTCGGCACTGTCCCTCAGCTCTTCAGCTCAAGGCTAGCACCCTACCACTTGAGCCATAGCACCACTTCCGGCTTTTCCTGCTTATGTGGTGCTGAGAAATTGAACCCAGGGCCTCATGCATGCAAGGCAAACATTCTACCACTGAGTGAACTTCCCAGACCCAGTGCCCAGCTTATTTAACCAATTTTTTTTTTTTTTTGGTCAGTCATGGGGCTTGAACTCGGCCTGGGTGCTGTCCCTCAGCTATTCAGCTCAAGGCTAGCACTGTACCCCTTGAGCCTGAGCCACAGCGCCACTTCCAGTTTTCTGGTGTTTAATTGGAGATAAGTGCCTCATGGACTTTCTATTTGTAGCTGGTAGTCAAGCCTTTGCCAGCAAGAAGGAAGAGGAGCCTTGTCCTTCAGTAGCCAGTAGTGGTTTAGGACTGATGCCAGATCTGATGGAGAGACTTCCCAGGGTGCTCTCAGTCCTAATCAGAACACTCTTTTTGCCATATTCCTTTGTTTTCCTGAGCAGACACACCCACTTTTCATGAAAATATTTTTTTTTTCCTGGATCTATATGCCACTCTTCCTGGAACTAATTGGTTAAATGAGTCATTCCTGGGGACCATGTGTACATTGTTTGCCTTTGGGTTTATTCAACATGACATTGCAATCTTCAGACTCAGGATGTAGTCCTTACAGACCCCGTTGTCTTACTAATTCCTGTTAAATGTAGGCACAGATTCAGAAGACTAAGGACTTGCTCAATAATGTGGCATCTGATGAAGCTAACTTAGAAGCCAAAATTGAAAAGAGAAAACTAGAACTGGAAAGAAATCGGAAGCGACTACAGACCCTGCAGAGCGTCAGGTATATGTGAACTCCTGTGTGGGTAGTGACAGCGAATAGAGAGGTATTTTGGAAAATAGAACAGAGACTAAGAGAATACTAATGGCATGACCTCTTAAAGCAGCAACCAGCCTGGTGTAAGGGGACTGCATCACAGTGCACTCGTGTGTATATGTGCTGCTTTCAATGTGTCTGGAAAATGGCTTAATTCTTGAGCTACCTTTAAGCTTTCATGGCTTCTTGAATGTAAGGTGAAGTAAATAAATCCAGATGTTGTAAGCTATACAAAGCTTAGCCTCCTAAGATCATGACATAAAATCAGGTAAGACAACATATTTCCATATCTTGACTGAAGTAGATTTTAGACTTTAGATTATAATGATTTTTTTGGGGGGGGTGGTCCGGTCATGGGGCCTGAACTCTGGGCCTGGGTGCTGCCCCTCAGCTCTTCAGCTCAAGGCTAGCGCTCTACCACTTGAGCCACAGCGCCACTTCCGGCTTTTTTTTCCTTTTGCTTATGTGGTGCTGAGGAATCGAACCCAGGGCCTTGTGCATGCAAGGCAAGCGCTCTACCACTGAGCCACCTTCCCAGCCCCATAATGATTTTTTTCTTTTCTTTCTTTTTTTGGTCAGTCATGGGGTTGAACTCAAGTCCTATCTCTGTGCTCTTTTTGCTCAAGACTAACACTCTACCTTTTTGAGCTACAGCTCCACTTCTGGTTTTCTGGTTTTAATTGGAGATAAAGAGTCACAGTCTTTCTTGCTTAGAGTTGCTTTGACCCTCTGATCTCAGTCTCCTGAGTAGCTAGGATTATAGTCACGAGCCACTAGCAACTGGTTGATGATTTCTTCTCTGTCAGCACTTTATCTTTTTTTTCATTTTGTCAGTACTGGCATTTGAACACAGGCCCTCACATTTGCTTAGCTTGCTATACTGGTGTTTTACCATTTAAGCCTTGCTTCCAACCTGGCTTTTTGCAGTTTCTTTAAGATGGAGTCTTGTGGTTTCTTTTCTGCCTGGGCTGCCTTTGAACCATGATCTTCTGGAGTTCAGCTTTCTGAGTAGCATTATAGATATGAGCCACCAGTGTCCAGCTTTATCTTATGACTATACCTCATTGGAAATCCATTTTCAGATACTAGAAAATGCTAATAGAACACCTTCTAGGATAAACCTTAGAAGTGTAGTTTAAAACATCATGAATTATTTTCAGCATATACACATGTATACACGCATATGTTCATAATCATACTATATACATACAATATACATCATGTATACACATGTCTATATGTATATCTCATATACATTTGTATATGTGTATGTTTTGTAGGAGATAAATGTCTTGCTGTGTTGACCAAGCTAGTCTAAATGGCTAAGCTCAGATGCGCCTCTTCTTTCTACTTCTAGAGGAGCTGGACAAGGGGCCTCCTAAATGAAACTGAGAAAGTAGAACCCTAAGAAGGGAACACTATCTGGTTTGATTTTGGAGAAGAAAAGTTGAAGAGAAATAAAATTATAGTCCCAAGAGAAGGAGCACTATTTAAAATCACATGCCTATAATCTCGCACTGGGGGAATTGAAGCAGAAGGAGAGTGAGTCTGAGGCTAGAATGGGCTACAATAGCCAGGCTCAAACAAACCCACCGACTATAGAATCTGGCATTTTAAGCTGGGTGTTGGTGGCTCACACCTGTAACCCTAGCTACTCAGGAGGCTGAGATCTGAGGATTGTGCTTCAAAGCCAGCCTGAGCAGGAAAGTCTGAGAGATTATCATCTACAATTAACCACCAGAAAACCAGAATTGGTGCTGTGGCTCAAGTGGTACAATGCTTGCCTTGAGCTAAAGAGCTGAGGGACAGCGCCTAGGCCCAGAGTTCAGGCCCACGACAGACCAAGGAAGGAAGGAGGGAGGGAGGGAGGGAGGGAGGGAGGGGAAGGAAGGATCAATCTGACATTTTAGCTAGATGGAAGGATCACTGCGATGTCAGGTGTGATGGAAGGGCTGACTAAAGATTTATATTAGAGGAAGAAAAGGGAGTAGCCCTGGATAATGAGATACCTTCACACTTTTGATAGATCTAGTGACCCATCTGAGCTTAGAAATTTTATTGTTCCTACACCATGTGACAGGGCTCTAGAGTGTTGACTCACATTAGCCAAATTCTGAAGAAAAGCCACATGCCAGTGGTTCACAGCTGTAATCCTTGCTACTCAGGAGGCTAAGATCAGGGGGACTGCAATTCAGAGGCATTCTAGGCAGAAAGGTCTGTGATATATCTTCAAAATAACCAACACAAAGCAAGCTGAAGGTACAGCTGAGGTAGAACACCAGCCAATTGAGCAAATGGAGAGAGTTGAAGGCCCTGAGTTGAAATCCCAGTACTACCTACAGCTGGTTTTGAAGGTTCAGTGAAATGATGAGGCAAAACTATATATACCAGGAACACAGCCGCAGCTCGTTGCCTGTGAGATGGACGAAACCTTCTAACTGTGAGGATGCAGCTCTGCACTCTGCAGTTCTGCAGTTCTTCTCCTCAGTTCTGCTTTCTGCAGTTCTGTGGTTCTGCACTCCACAAGGCAGTTGTCTGAATGAAGGACCTTCTGTAATTAAAGATTTCCAAAGAAAGCCATGGTGGCATTTTGAATACTAATTTCAAGCTATTGCATCTCATTAACCTTTCTGGTTTTGTTTCTTTTGCTTGTTTTAGGCCTGCCTTTATGGATGAGTATGAGAAGATTGAGGAAGAATTACAAAAGCAGTATGACATTTATCTGGAGAAATTTCGGAATTTGGCTTACCTGGAACAGCAACTGGAGGACCACCATAGGATGGAGCAAGAGAGGTTTGAAGTGAGTCTGTTCAGACCAGGCCCTGCACACTGTCTGCCCTTGGTGACATGTCAGCATATAAATATGTGGAAACTAGACTACTCTTTGCGGGTTGCTCATATAATTCTTCTTTTGCTGGAAGTCAGATTTTGATGTCAGTGACCTGCCCAGTCACACACTGCTCTCTGTCTCTTAGGGCCTAGGCCTGCTCTGCAGAATAGCAATACTTTCTGTTCAATATTTAGAGCATCACTCAAAGTTTAGGTTGCTCAGTTCTTTCACCATGGCAGGGTGTGGTGGAAAGAGCAAGGGTGAGGCCAGTACATCACTTCTGAGCTACTTCCACAGGCCTGCCATTACTACCAACAAGGGCGCAGGTTTGGGGATAGTAAGGGCGGCTCAAGAAAACTTAAGATCTTTCCTTGTTCTCTGTCACAAATGTTTCTGGACCTACACTGGGACGGAAGAATAAAATCATCCACCAAAGATCTGAATCTTTATTTCCTCTTCTTAGGAGGCTGAAAATACTCTCCGTCTGATGCAGAACAAGCTAAAGGAAGAGGAAAAGCGGCTTCTCAAGAGTGGAAGTAAGGCTGTTTCCAGCCTTGACAAACTATATATTTTAAAATATTTACCTACATATTATGTATTTACTTACTTTTGTTCTGGCCCTGGGGCTTGAACTCAGGGCCTGACACTGTCCCTGAGCTTTTGTGATAAAGGCTAGCACTCTACCACTTGATCCACAACTCCATTCTGGATTTTTGGTAGTTAATTGGAGATAGTCTCATAGACTTACTGCCCAGGCTGACTATGAACCATACTTTTCTCAGCCTCCTGAGTAGCTAGTATTATAGACATTAGCCACCGGCGTCCTGCCACTTTAATCTTTTTCTCCTGATCAGGGGGCTTGAGTTCTGGTAAAACAGCCTAACAGAGAACAGAACGTATTTCCCTTCAGTTAACTAGAAAGATAGAGCTGCTTTGACATCTGGTTCCTCAATTTGAAAATTTTTAGATTATCAATGTTTTTCACTAAGCCATCTAGGCCACTTTTTCTCCTGCTGTGGGATATTGCTTATTATTTTGTTAATACAACACATTATGGTGTTTTAACTCTTCACTAAGTGTCTACACACAAATCCATGGTGGAATCTGATGCATCCAGAGAAAGAAAAGACTAGTCAATAGAGACCCTTTTTACATATGAGCCTTCCTCCACAGAAGCTGTTTGTAAGGATGGACCTGCTCTTTTCTTTGTCTCCTTGTGTTCCTGCCAGGTAACGATGACTCAGACATAGACATCCAGGAGGATGATGAGTCTGACAGTGAGTTGGAGGAAAGACGGCTGTCCAAGCCAAGGACCGCCATGGAGGTGCTCATGCAAGGTAGTGTAGCTTGTTCTGTTGGCCCTGTTCCCTGTGCCCTGAGTAAGAATAGGGAAGGGCTACTCAGTCCTGAGCTCACAGCAACCTGACTCTAAAGCTGATCCTGTCCCAGTTTGTCCTTCCCTGGGTAAGAATCTGGCTCTTACTGGCTCAGTGGCATCATTACTTTGATGCCTGTGGTCAGAAAATTGCCAATTCATACCTGTGGGCTGGAATGTTTCATGGAAACCACAGAAATGCACTGGCTCTGCCACTAGACTCTATCCTGCCTTGTGTCTTAAGTTGTTCTTAATGTAATTACATCTGAGGCCTGGAAATTAATTAGTGCACAGAGAAGGAATCATATGAGCATCTCTCCCTTAAAAAAAAATTCTTCAAGCCCCACAACCAACAACAACAACAAAAAAATTCTAATTTCTTTTGTCTCACTTCAGACTTTCCTAGAGTCTTTCTCATGGCCTGTTCCCACCTTTGAGAGCCTCAGTTCTGACCACACAGAGACACGTGCAATTGAACATAGTACAAAGATGGCCTGAAACCCCTTAAACCTAAGTAGGGTTTTTCAACTGTTGTTTCAAAGTATGTTGTAACTCCCCATGACAGTAGATATAGATCTGCTTCATTATTTTCAATGGCTGTGTCATATTCCAGGCTGACCTCAAACTCAAGACCCTCCTGCCTCTACTTCCCCCTTGCTTGAATTACAGACAGGTTTTTTTGTTTGTTTGTTTTTATTTTTATTTTTTGTCAGTCGTGGGGATTGAACTCTGGGCCTGGGCGCTGCCCCTCAGCACTTCAGCTCAAGGCTCTACCAGTTGAGCCACAGTGTCACTTCCGGTTTTCTGTTTGTTAGTTGGGATAAGCATCTTATGAACTTTCCTGCCAGGGCTGACCTTAAACAATGATCCTCAGATCTCAGCCTCCTGAGTAGTTGGGATTACAGGCATCAGCCACCAGCACCCTGCAAGACAGTTTTATTTATTTATTTTTGGGTCTGGTCATGGGGCCTGAACTCGGCCTGGGTGCTGTCCCTCAGCTCTTCAGCTCAAGGCTAGCACCCTACCACTTGAGCCATAACACCACTTGCGGCTTTTTTCTTTTTGCTGAGGAATTGAACTCAGGGCTTTTTTCTTTTTGCTGAGGAATTGAACCCAGGGCCTCATGTGTGCAAGGCAAACGTTCTACCACTGAACCACTTTCCCAGACCCAAGACAGTTTTATTTATTTATTTATTTTTTGGGTCCGGTCGTGGGGCCTGAACTCTGGGCCTGGGCGCTGTCCCTCAGCTCTTCAGCTCAAGGCTAGCACTCTACCACTTGAGCCACAGCACCACTTCCGGCTTTTTTTTCCCTTTTTGCTTATGTGGTGCTGAGGAATCAAACCCAGGGCCTCGTGCATGCAAGGCAAGCGCTCTACCACTGAGCCACCTTCCCAGCCCCGACAGTTTTATTTTTATACCTAATAACTTTAAATTTATATTACCTTTTTGTTTCTTATGAACTCTAATAAATCTTAGTTCATAGTTTCGATTTTTTGGACACTAAGTAAACTTTTTACTATGATTTTTCCTTTCCCTGATTTCATCAGGGAAAGTAAGTGTCAAAGTCTATCTTTTTTCCAGAGCTGAGGACTGAGCCCAGGGCCTTGCGCTCGCCAGGCAGGCGCCCTTCCACTGAGCTAAACCCCCAGCCCCTCAAAGTCTACCTTCTAAATTATTTTTTGAGGTTCTCATGTGTTTTTTTTCTTTTCTTTTTTCTTTTTTTTTTTTGTCATTGGTTGTGGGGCTTGAACTCTAGGCCTGGGCACTGCCCCTAAGCTCTTTAGCTCAAGGCAAGCACTCTACCACTTGAGCCATAGTGCCACTTCCGGCTTTTTCTGCTTATGTGGTGCTGAGGAATCAAACCCAGGGCCTCATGCATGCGAGGCAAGCGCTCTACCACTGAGCCACCTTCCCAGCCCTTTTAAGAGGTTTTCTAATGCTTTGGCTTTTTTTTGTTTTTGTTTTTTATTCCAGGAAGACCCAGCAAGCGCATTGTGGGCACAATGCAAGGTGGAGACTCGGATGATGATGTGAGTCCCGACCATTCCCTTTCCCACTTCTGTGCCTTGTGCTCTTGGGCTTTTCTCCTAGACTAGATTAGCTCAGGAGCTGCTGGCAGCCCAGATCCATCTGTTCCTAACCTAAGTGCTTTGCTCAATTTGTGCCAGAGTTTGGCCTCTGAAAGGGTTGGACTCTTCTTCGCTTGTCAGTAGTTGATTTCTCATTTCATACGAATATGCTTGCCCTACTTTTTTTGCTTTCTCACTGTTCTTTCCATTCTTGCTCTCCAAAGATGGAAGCAGCACCAGCTCTTTTAGGTAAATGCAGCACTCCTCGCTCCAGGAAGCAGGTTGGTCTTCTTTTTTGCCTCATCTGTTTACGGTGTGTGTCAACCTGCGTAGGGCCAGCAGAACCAGTGTTCAGGATGGTATGTCCTGTCTGTTGGGCAAGAAGCCACTGACACTGCATCCCACAGTGAGACTGGATCCCACAGTGAGAGGCAGAATGGTCTCAAGGTCCCTATGTGGGGGAGGAGGGGTGAGCACAGAGGCCAGGGACAAGAAAGGTGGTGAGGAGTCAGCAGGCCCTTGACCTGTAACCTAGAATGAAGGGACAGTGCTGACCAGCTCTCACAGCTCCATCCTGGGGGAAGGATGTGGATAAGTACCAGGTTGCTGGTACTTTGAGCTTTCCTGGGCAGATGCTGACTAGAGGACTTCAGCAGAAAGGAGAAGGTAGCGGAGGAGTTGTTCCTGACAGGGCAAGTTGGGGATGCACCTCCCATTGCTCTGGGCCTTTGTCCTATTGCAGTCCCATGTGCTAGAGGTGGCTGGACTGGCACTGTCCCAGACAGGCTGTTGGGGCTTAGCCTGTGCCGGAGGCCTGATGCTATGGCTGTGTAGGGCCTTTTCTTTTTTCTTTTTCTTTTCTTTTTTTTTTGTTGGTTGTGGGGCTTGAACTCTGGGCTTGGGCACTATCCCTGCGCTCTTCAGCTCAAGGCTAGCGCTTTACCACTTGACCTACAGCACCACTTCCGGTTTTCAAGTGGTTTATTGGAGATAAGAGTCTCATGGACTTTTCTGCCCAGCCTGGCTTTGAACCGTGATTGTCAGATCTCAGCCTCCTGTCTACGTAGCTAGAATTACAGGCGTGAACCACTGGCACCCGGCTGGGCCTTTTCTTTAAATCTTAGTAAAAATTTATTTTAGTATAGCAGGGTAAAAGTAGAGGGAAATAAAAAATAAGAGAACATTTCCTGCTCCCCATTCAGGAGAGGGAAGTTGACAACTGCCTCTGCAGTCTCAGTGCCACAGAGCGTTAGCAGAGTGCTAGCAGCATTCACAGGAACAAGCTGTCACCCAGGGCGGCAGGGTACAGAGCAGTTTGGGCCTTGAATTCCTAGGCTACGATCTGCAGAGAGTCAGGGAGCCCTCCTTAACAACGATCGCTGTCAGCGGGGAGGACGTGGGGTTACCATCCATGCATTCATCCTGCCCACCTGAGAGTGAAACAGGGAGGGTCTGGCCTGGAAAGCAGAGCTGGTCTCTATTGCATTTGCTGTGTGCTTTTTGGAATGAATGCATCAGCAGTGGTGCATTGCTTATTTCTTTCAAGGAGGCAGTTCCCTGAGTGGAAGGGTCAGCCCTTCACCCATCTGTGGGGTCCTTTCATGTGCCAGCCTCTGTTATAGATGATGGAGAACACAGCAGGAAAGAGAAACACGGCCTCTGCCTTTAGGACATGCACAGTCCAGTGATGGCAGGCGTACCTCAGTCATAGGTATTAGGAAGAGAAGCAAAGCAGAATGGGAATATCTCTGTATAGTGAGGGAATGCCTAATACAGTGCCATTGGAGCAGAGACTTGGATGAAGGCAGGTGGCAGGCTGCGCAGGGAGGGGCTCCTGGCGTGAGGAGCAGTGATGGGGTGGAGGGACTGGGGCTAGCCCTGTAAGAGGTGGGGTGGCATTGCCATATCTTCCTGCTCATAGCATTTTTTCTGAGTGGGGCCAGACTGCGCCCAGGAATCGTAAGCTTAGGTGGCAACAACAGCTGTCAGGTTTCAGGTGCCAGTGGCTCAACCTTAAGCAGTGACAGTCAGTTGTGGGTATGCTTCTGGAGTTGGACCTGTCATGTTTTGTGAGTTGATTGCACACATGGTGTTGAAGGAGAGGAGAGAAGGTGACCTCGGTTGTGGTCTAATCAGCTGAAGGCACAGGATTTTCATTTCCTTAAGCACCAAATTGAGGAGGGGATGGGAGAGTCCAGATCAAGAGTTGGATTTTGAACATTCTGTGGTAAGCTGCCTGTTACACAGCCACATGCCTTCATAGAGTGGTCAGTTAAAATTCAGATCTGGATGGGTTGGGAAGGTGGCTCAGTGGCAGAGCGCTTGCCTTGCATGCATGAGGCCCTGGGTTGCATTCCTCAGCACCACATAAACAAAAAACTGGAATTTGTGCTGTGACTCAAGTGGTAGTGCACTAGCCTTGAGCTGAAGAGCTGAGGGACAGCGCCCAGGCCCAGAGTTCAGGCTCCATGACCCAAAAAAAAAAAAAAAAAAAAAAATTCAGATCTGGAATCTGTGAGGTAGATGTGAGTCATTGCTTAGGACAACAGGAAGAGAGGAGGGCCAGGCAAGGGGCTGAGCAGACAGCGTAGAGAGCTAGGGTAAAAAGCGGGACCAGCACAGATGCTCTAGAGAACAGGGATTTCAGAGAAGAAGGGGTGACGAAGTGAGAACTGTGGACCCCACTGAATTGGAATCCTCAGAATGTTTTGTTTTGATGAGTGGTTTTGGAATTGTGGGTTTAGAGCCTGGTTCAAATATACCTAAGAGGGGCACGAGCAGAACAGATAGGAGGCTGGCTTCACTCGAGGAACTCTGTGTGGGGCAGACAGCTGGAGAGAATGGTTGGTGACATTTCTGGTTTTCTGAAGAAGGAAATGCTAGCATATGTGGGCACAACCAGCATTAGTCTCCCACATCAGGACATTGATGACTCCTTCACTTTGCTCCTCACACTCACTGGCTGTGCTGCTTTCTACCCTTCTCTGGAAGGAGCTGCTATGCTGTCGATTGTGTCCCTGGGCTCCCCTGAGCTGAACAGCACCAGCCACCCTTAGTGTTTGTCCAGGATATGCTTGGGACACCCCTGGAAAGCCAACCCCTGACCCAGTGCACATTGGAACTTGAGCTACCTATTCGTTAGTCAGGCGGTCTTGTGGAGATATTCCAGCTGGCAAAGCCCACTGTGCCAGCACAGCCTGATTGGCACTCTGCCAACAGATGGCACTGTTATTGAGCCACCATAAAGAATGAGGAGGGGCCCCTTAAACAAGATACTGTAACAAAACAGGACCACATACCATGGTTTCTCTATAGGAAGATTCGGAGGACAGTGAAATTGACATGGAAGATGACGAAGAAGACGATGATGACTTAGAAGATGAGAGCATTGCTCTCTCACCAACTAAGCCCAATCGAAGAGTCCGGAAACCCGAGCCCCTGGATGAAAGTGATAATGACTTCTGACTTGCCAAGGGACCCAGGCAGATTGAGAGCCTCAAACTTGTAGATAAATGGTAAGCCAGAAGGCTGGGAAGGTAACAGGTTCTGTGTTCACTTCGCTACACCATTGGTGTGAAAGAAGATTTCTTTCTGCTTTACCTTCCTGTTTGTACTCTGAAGCATAAATGAGAACTGAAGCAAACCACAAAGATGATTTCCTTTTGCCTTCTTTTTCTCTTAATACTTGGGAAATGCATGGGTGTTAAGTGACTTAAATCCACGGGACAAAAGCTTAAAGTGAAATATGGGAAGACACAACATAAGTTTGGTGGCATTTCCTCTAAGAGCCTGACAGACCTGGGGCTGGGACTTTGCACAGGACTTGTTTTAGGAATTGTTAGGTAACATCTAACTGTTAATCACTCACTTTGCACAGTTTGGAACATGGACTGTACATGGGCTTTTAATTGTGCTTTTATTCTATTTTATAATCTTTTCTGCATGCTCACAATACCAAGCATTATATGAACCTTAACTGAAATTTTCTGAGACATTCATTAAGTTTAATATCCTTGACTATCAGGCAACAGAGACCTTCCAGATTCCAGTAAGCCTGACAATCAGAATATAGTATTTGATTCTCTTCTTCTGAAATTCCACTAAAATGAGAGGGAGGGAAAAGGAGAAGAAGAAGAAATCTAGAGAGGCAAGTTCATAACGGTCACAAGGACCAGAGCCAAAACCAGAGTGGAGGGGACAGCATCAATACTTTGGGACCTGAAAAAAAAGTACAGACTTTAGAGCTGGGGAAGCTGAGACCTTAGGCTCATCTCAAATAGAACTGAGTCTGAGGTGAGAAATGTGAAAGATGAAGTTGACACCAATGATGCATTGCTGAGTAAATAATACACTCAAGATATCGTAACTAAAAACTGACCAGAACGGAGAATGACAGGCTGACTCATTGTCTCAACTCCAAATTCACCTTTCAGTCTGCTCTGTACTAAGGCAACTAGGCCATATAAATATTTCTCCTTTGTAAGTAAGCAAGCTACAAAGCCTTGTCAGTGGGGTGCTAGAGACACTTTTACCAGTGAAACCCCCCTTTTAGTGCTAGAGGGGCTTGTGTTTCCAGCCTCAGGAGAGTATTTTCTGCACGCCTTCTCCTTCGGGCTCCTCTAGTGTTCAGGACACAGCCTTTCCCTGGTGTTTGACTACTGCAACTTTCTGTTCTGTGTAGCTCTCTCAAAGACAGTGCAGACCAGCAGCAGTAGAGCAACAGGTCATTGAAAGGAGCTGGGCGCCAGTGGCTCATGCCTGTCATCCTAGCTACTCAGGAGGCTCAGATCAGAGGATCGCAGTTCAAAGCCAGCCTGGGCAGGAAAGTCCATGAGACTCTTATCTCCAATAAACCACCAGAAAACTGGCAATGTCGCTGTGACTCAAGTGGTAGAGCACTAGCCTTGAGCTGAAAAGCCTCAGGGACAGTACCCAGGCCCAGAGTTCACGATCCATGACCACCAAAAAAAAAAAAAAAGATACCAACTCATTTCAGAACTTCTACATGAGTGAATAAGGGAAGAAATCATCATTGTTTTTAAGTTGGGGCTCATGAAGTCCTCAGATATAAATAAGCTGGAACATCTTCTGGCGATACCGAGCTTTCAAGCTTAGACTGAGTCTTGTGGTGGCAGCCTCTTTCCTTCTCTGCCATAACAGTGTTCCTCTACCCTGCCTGGACTGGCCCTGGGCAGGAGAGGTGCTTGCCACTGCCTTTGGTCGTGCCTTGCCTTTCTCTGGGCAGAACTTCTTTTGTGCCGGGCAGCAGCATCCTTGAAGCACGGGATGGTGCCTAGAGATTGGAAATTACCCTTTCTGGTTGGTCCACAAAGGAGCTAGTTTTCCTCACATTTCCACAGTGCACATGGGAGCATTTGCCTTGATAGCATCTGAGATCATCCTGGCACCGGATTCTGCAATGAGATTTCCCTGCAGACTAGAACAGAAGGATTAGAGCAGGGCTCAACACCAACAGGTTTCCTTTAGTAGAAAAATCATCACTATAGCAATGTGGACCCATGGTCGAGACTCTCAGACACAGGCTCCTCCTTAGACTAAGTCCCCTGGAGAACTTCTGGGGAGTCTGCATGGCAGCTCATGCCCAGAACTGGGCTAGACGCTGATGTGGGAACAGTTTTCAGGGTGAGCAAAAGTGGCCCAGAAGGGGCAGGTGCCGCCAAGTCTACTCACTTGATTTGCTGCAGCCCGTGGTTCTCAGCCAGTGCAGTGGCCACATAAATCGCTCCATCCATCCCCAAGTAGTTCTCCTGGAGACTAGGCAGAGAAGAGACCGAGATGCTGTGGTGAGCTCTCAGGACAGAAGAAACAGCAGAAGAGCCAACACTGCCTTGGCGTTGTGGAAGATGAGAGGTGAGTAGTTCTGGGGTTGGTCTGCCCATAGGCATCATGGTAACTGCTAGGTGGTGTTTGACCCCTGAGATGGATATCTCTAAGTAGCCATAAATGCAGATTTTTAAGTGACTTGTGTGTGACTTAGAATGAACAACTAACTACAATGGATATGAACCGTCAGAATAGCTCTGAGTCATTTACATCCAGAAGTAAGCAGCAGGGGGAAATCAAGAATATTTTATACCGAGAGATGATCCAGCATAGAAATTTCCTGCTCTGAGACACATGTGTAGGTCTCCATGGCCACTTACCTGAGTCTTCGGAGACTGGAGTTTATCTTCAGAGCATCTGCCAGGGCCTTGGCTCCAGCCATTCCGATGGCATTTCCTCGTAAGCTGTCAGGAAGCACAGGGACAGGCTAAGTGGTGGTGACGATGCCCCTCCACATAGATGTGGGGTTCCTGGACTTCCTCAGCTATAGGAGATGAGGGTCATTCTTTCCCTACATCTGCAGTAGAACAGAGCTAGGCTCTAGGGAGAGGAGGGCACGCAGGAAGGGTTGCTCTGTTGGAGCCCTTGTCCCCCTGTTCCATCCCAAAGGTGGAAAAACTGGACTGAGATAAAGAGACCACGCTCCTGCCAGCACCTGCCACGCTCGGCAGGTGCTGGCATCATGGAGTCCCAGGTGTAGAGATGTCATGGACAGGCCTGAGAGCCTGTAGAGCTTGAGCCTTCTCACAGAACCAGCGCCATGGCCACTGGCTACCCCAGAGGACCTAAAGGGGGCCTCGAGACAAGTACAGCCAGGGCAAGAACACTTCAAGACAAACCATGGAGACTTCAGGGAAGAGGCATTAAGGGCGAACACTAAGGGGGCAGGAGTGAAGATGTGCAGTGACCTGTGAGTTTATTTTTATTTTATTTTATTTTGTTGGTTGTGGGGCTTGAACTCTGGGCCTGGGCGCTGTCCCTCAGCTCTTCAGCTCAAGGCAAGCGCTCTACCACTTGAGCTACAGCGCCACTTCCGGTTTTCTGGTGGTTTATTGGAGATAGGAGTCTCACGGTCTCTCCTGCCCGGGCTGGCTTTGAACGGAGATCCTCAGATCTCAGCCTCCTGAGTAGCTAGGATTACAGGCGTTAGCCACCAGCGCCCTGCTCTGACCTGTGAGTTTATATGTAAATGGACATGTTTATTCCTTTGGGATCAATCCCTTTATTTCTTATTTATTTATTTGCGGGTCGTGGGCCTGAACTCTGGGCCTGGGCACTGTCCCTCAGCTCTTCAGTTCAAGGCTAGCATACTACCACTTGAGCCACAGCACCACTTCCAGCTTTTTTCCACTTATGTGGTGCTGAGGAATGGAACCCAGGGCCTCATGCTTGCAAGGCAAGCACTCTACCACTGAGCCACCTTCCCAGCCCCAATCGCTTTATTTCTGTGGACAAAAGATTGTCAGTGGAGACAGGAATACTCACTCAAGTATCTCCAATGTCCTGTTCACAGCCAGGGCCTCCCCCAGTGCTTGGGCCCCTGGGGTGCCAATGGAGGCCATCTGGAGGCTATAGAAAGAGGCCCAGTCACTGCATGTAGGAGCGATCCCTTTCCCATCATGCACCTACTCTGGGTCCAGCCTTTTTCCATACTCCCCCCCCCCCTTCCCCACCCTCCCCTCCTGCTAGGGCTGAAGGTGGAGAAACTTTAGGAAAGTTGAGTCCCCTATATTCATGACAAATGTGTGGATGTGGATGTTAGCAGACAGGAAGTAAGAGTCTCCTAGCACAGGGGAGAACACTCACTGAAACCCCTAACTCTTACATCCTAGAAGTTTGATTCACTAATTGCTGATACTACTAGGGAAGTGAAGCACACCTTCCCTGACTGATAAAGATGGTGTGTGGCATCAGAGGATGGTGGGGGTCTGGGCTCCCCTCACATTCAAGACTTACTAGAGAGCAGTGAGGGTTGTGTTCACCTTGAGTGCGGTGGCCACTGCAGATGCGCCTTCATCCCCAATGTCGTTCTCCTGTAAGCTGAACACAGAGTCACCCCTGGCACTCTGGGAGGACCGCTGGGTTTAATTCAGACCACACACCAGGTGTACCCCCAGTCACCTTGGGGTGACCGCCCTGCTGTGCAGCCACTGGGGCCTGTGTCCTCATAACCAACACGCAGAGGAGTCTGGGTACTTCATGATTCTGAATGAACCATCAGGCAAGCAGGGAAAGGAATATATGGGAATTACTGTCAACAAAGATTTGAGACCAAAAAGTATAGCTTGGAGCTCTCAATTTATGGTGCATTCTTTTTTTGTTTGTTTGTTTGTTTTTGTCTTTTTTTGGGTCCGGTCGTGGGGCCTGAACTCTGGGCCTGGGCGCTGTCCCTCAGCTCTTCAGCTCAAGGCTAGTGCTCTACCACTTGAGCCACAGCGCCACTTCTGGCTTTTTTCTTTTTGCTTATGTGGTGCTGAGGAATCGAACCCAGGGCCTCAGGCATGCAAGGCAAGTGCTCTACCATTGAGCCACCTTCTCAGCCCTATGGCACATTCTTGTTTGTTAGAGTTCTATATCATCCTCCTAGAACTAGAAATAGTTGGAGGAAAATATAGGCTCTGGAGCAGTAAATGACCAGTTCAGGTCAAAGAGACCTGATATGTTTGGGGAGCAGTTCACAATCATTAGCAAACACCTACATGGCCAGTGTGCGAGGTGTACAGGCGTGGGCCTAGCCCACCCTGCAGGTATGAAAGCCAGGCTGCAAGGAAGACCAGCAGGGTCTCTACCCCAGTGTGGTGTCCAGAAGAAACAGGTCTAAGCCAACATCCAGAAAAGACAGGAAAACAGCTGAGAAGCCCAGGGAAACTGAGCTGAATTCCCAGAGTGGTGAGAACCAAGGGAGTGGAAGCAGAGTTTCAGGGGCCTTGGAAGCCAGGCTTGGAGCCTTACACTTTGTCTTGCAGGTGCAGGCAGCCATTTAAGGATCTCGTGGGTCAGATGGACATTTTGGAAAGAACTCTGCCAGCGGTGTGAAGGCACGGCCTGGATGTGGAGGCTGCGCAGTGATGGAGGTGAGTGGTGGTGTCCGTCAAGACAGACAAACAGGAGGGAGAATGGAGCTAGAAGCGGAGATGGTGCAAAGGTGGACTGCTAGCTGGTGTGTTTCTGGGAGCCAGGTGGGGAACCAAGAAGCAGGCTTTCTGGAGAGGAGGTGGCTACCAGAAATGCCCATGGGACATGGAGAGAACATGTAGAATAGGGATGCATTCATGCTCTGTGGAGCTATCATCAGTCCAGTCTTCGGGCCTGTGGGGTCATTGGAGGGAAAGGACAGCTGTGCAGAGAAAGAGGGTCTGGACCAGAACACTTCGCATCTCAGCGTGGAGTAGAAGGAGAAAACAAGGAGAGCCAGCTGGAGAGGAGGTGGGCAGAAAGAGATCCTGGGAGCTGCAGAGAGGAAATGGTGAAAATGGAAGCAGATGAATCTCAAGAAGTGAAGCACCAGGTTACCAGGGAACCCCGCAGTTCCACTCCCTGCCCTGTATCCCCAGAGACAGGAAGTCTGTGTCCTCTCAGAAAGCATCCTTGCAGCATTATTTATAATAGCCACAAAGTAGAAGCCAACCAGATGTCCATCAACAGGAAAATGGATACATAAGATGTGTATCCATACAATGGGGTAGGATTCAGACTTAAAAAGGAATGCAAGGCTGACCCGTGCTACAACATCAATGAACCAAGTAGGAGAGGTGTGGTTCAGTGAGAGTGTGCTGCTTGGCTGCTCAAGGCCCTGGGTTCAATCCCCAGCAAACGCACTCTCTCTCTTTCTCTGTCTCTCTCTGTCTCTGTCTGTCTGTCTGTCTGTCTGTCTGTCTGTCTGTCTGTCTGTCTGTCTCTCTCTCTCTCTCTCTCTCTCTCTCTCTCTCTCTCACATTTGTAAGATGAGATTTATTACACCTAATTGTGAGAGTAGATTTATGTGAAATGTTCAGGGTAGGCAAATTGAGAAATGGATGGATGGTTTCTAGCAATAATGTGGAAGAGAAAAATGGTTTGTTTAGGGATGATGAAGTGTTTTAAAATTGTGCCAATGGCTGCATGACTCCTGGTATGAAGTGAGTAGTGAGTGGACTTCGTGGTATGTGGACTGTTTCAGTTCATCTGTCTAAAGAGCAGATGAGACTGGGGCATGGCTCAAGTGGTAGAGCTCCTGCCTGGTTAAGAAAAAAAGCAGATGAGGACTGATAGTAGCTTGCCTATGGCAGAGGCTGTGTATGCAGGGGAAGCTCTGAGTGCTCCCCTCCCTCCCCCTGCAGACTCCCCCCGCCCCCCTCCATACTTACTCTAAGCTTCTCAGGCTCCCGTTGAGCTGGAGAGCTTGTCCCAGTGCCCTGGCCGCACCGGCCTGGATGAAGTTCCACTGCAGACTGTGCAGACACACACATGTGATCTATGGCCCCGGAAGAGCCACAGAGGCTCTGGAGGTTCTAGGAGGCTGGTGTGGTGGGGTGAGGCCTGGCAGGACTCCTTCAGCTCCCCTCGGTCCCCAGAGGGTCAGTGTACTCTCCGTTAGTGGTGACACAGGGGCGAGCTCATATAGCCCCTGCCTGGAGCGTGGGTCACCTCTGGGCACTGAGCCTCCTCACATGGGTCTGCCTCAGGCACTGGAGGCTTCTGGAGTTGGGGAACCTTAAATAGGCCCCTGGGACCTTAGAAAGGGGTTGTCCTACAGTCAGGTTTTTTTTTTTGGGGGGGGCAGTTTGGTCCTGGGACTTGAACTCTGGGCTTGGGCGCTGTCCCTCAGCTCTTCAGCTCAAAGCAACTCTACCACTTGAGCCACAGCGCCACTTCCAGTTTTCTAGTGGTTTATTGGACATTAGAGTCTCACAGACTTTCCTTCCCGGGTTGGCTTTGAAGCATGATCCTCAGATCTCAGCCTCCTGAGTAGCTAGGATTACAGGCGTGAGCCACCGGCATCCGGCCAGAGTCAGGTTTTGAGGGCCCGTGGTTTAGACATAGTCCTGCAGCTCTGCGGCAGAGTGGTAGGTGGGCTGGGGCGGGGTGGTGAACTTACTGGAGGGATGTGACGGCGTGGTTTTCCCCTACCGCCACTGCGATGGCCTGTGCGCCCTCATCGTGGAGGAGGTTGGCTGCCAGGCTGAGAGGTGAGGAGTAGCAGCGAGTGAGTGGGAGCCCCAGCTGCTCCCCATTCTGTGTCGATGTTAGTATCTGGCCCACATCTGTGGAGAGATCTGGAGTACCAGGCACGTGCTCCGGCGTGTTACGCCAGACCCTGACAACCACCCCAGGCTGTCCCAGGCTCAGCTCAGTAGGTGTGGTACTAGGTCATACAGCCAGGACTCTCTGGAGCTGCCAAGGAGACTCACCGATGGCCTGGCCCCATACCAGCCCTTCCCCGGTGTGAGCCTGGCTGTGTATCCTCACCCATGTAACTTATACCACCCTGGGGGGAGGCTTGTGCCAGAGCCGCTGCCATCTACCGGGACTCAGACAGCCCTCCTCCCACCGGGAGGGCGAGGGTACCAAGGGCCTGGCCTTCACCAGCCTAGACTCTCACTAGCCAGGTGGCCAGGGGCACAAGTAAGCCAGTTTCTCCGGCCACCCCCTGCCCCGCCACCTACTCCAGGTGCTGCAGGGTGCTGTTCATGCGGAGCATACGAGCCAGGGTCTGGGCTCCCTCGAGGCTGATGGAGTTTTCTCGAAGGCTGAGGAAAGAGAGAAGACGCTGAGCTGCCCATTGGGCAAGTGAGACCTCTGGTTGGAGACAAGACCTTTTCTTTTCTTTTTTTTTCTTTCGGTCAGTCATGGTATTTGAACTCAGGGCCTGGGCACTGACCCAGAACTTTTTCACACAAGGCTAGTATGCTATCAACTTTGAGCCACAGCAGGGCTTCCAGTTTTCTGGTGGTTAATTGGAGATCAGAGTCTCATGGACTTTTCTGCCTCGGCTGGCTTTGAACCATGATCCTCATAGCTCAGCTTCTCGAGTAATTAGGATTACAGGCTGAGCCACTGGTGCCCAGCTTGTCTTCTTTTTTTTTGGTCAGTTGTGGGGCTTGAATTCAGGGCTTAGGCCCTGTCCCTGAGTTCTTTTTGCTCAAGGCTAGCACTCTACCACTTTAGCTACCACTCCACTTTATAAGCTTTTTTTTAAAGCCTCCCAAACTTCAGAACAAGGGAAGAATACTGATCTTCCTGAGACAGCAGGGAGGGGACAGAATCCCCGGCTCCAGAATCAATCTTTCCCTGATTACAGATTTCCCAATTGCGGGCTTCCTGGTTTCATACTTTCTTTCCAAGTCCCAAACTCGCAGTTTCTCTGGCCAGAGGGATGGCCTAGTGGGAAGGAAAGCCAGGACTTACTTGAGGCTGAGTAGGGTCTGGTTGGTGCAGAGGGCCCCCATCAGCGCCGCCACTCCCGTGTCACTAATGGAATTACTCTGCAGGCTGCAGACAGAGGACGGGCACCCTTGGCGTGGCTGCTCCAGGACCCAGGAGGTGGGGGTGGGGAAGGGAGCTGCCTGGTGCAGCCTGGGACCACAGGCACTGAGTTCAACAGGGAGTTAGGGGACTGTTCTCATCCTCCCTTCTTCTTCCATCGCCCCACCTTCTACCCCTGGTCAGGTTGGGGCAGGAGGGCTTAGCACAAGCCCCAGGGATTAGACTCTTGCCACCTAGATGGCTCCAAAAATTCCCAGAGGGAAGCATTGTGGCTGCACCATCCAGAGTGAGTAGTGCAGAAATCACCCACCTGCCCTCATCCCCACGAGGGCTTCTCTTCAGCCACCTGTGCTCAAGACGACTGTCATTCAGAACATTCTAGACACAACCACAACCCTTTACTGTCAAGAGAAGTGGAGCTGGTGGGTAGAGTAGAATGAGGCAGATGGTGAGGCAGAGACGGGCTCATGTTGATGGGGCTCTGGCAGGGGAATGGTGCTGGCTGACAGCCCTCCTCCAGACCACCAGCTGCATGGAGAACCCGGGAGTAATTGTCACCCCTGAAGGGTGGACAGCAGACTCACTCCAAGCTCTGCAGGACCTGGTTCATCTTTAGCGCCTCAGCCAGGGTTTTTCCACCTCCATCACCAATGCTGTTACTGGACAGCCTGTAAGAGACAGATGCTGGTGAGCCATCTTCTAGAGTCACCATGGAAGGCCATCTCTGTTTCAAGGGTGCCCATGGCAGTTTGTTCTGCCTGAATCTTGTTCATCTATAATCTGTACACATGACTCCCTGCTACCTATAAGAGAGTAAGGTTTCCAGGTCTTTCTTGCCTCTCAGGCAAGAATCAGAATTATGCCATACTGAGAGGTGTTTGTTTGCTTCATGTCAAGAAAGCCAAAAAGAGTCATTTCCAGCTGGGTAAATATAAGGTCAGGGCTCACTCAGCCCTGAGAATCTCGGTCTCTATTTTCCTTGTCTAGGAGGGTGCTATGGCAGGAGGATTCCTGTCTATTCTCCACCCACCTGTCCGTCCGTCTATCTACTCATCATCCATTCGTCTATCTCTCTGTCCATCCAGTCACAAATATTTAAGAGGGGCTGGCACTGACAAAACAAATTTGACCCTTCGACATGTCTTACATGAGCTCCTTCAGAGTCCTGTTCTGCTTCAAGGCATCTGCCAGCCGTTGGGCTCCCATGAGCCCAATGCTGTTCTTCTGTAGACTGTGAAAGATGAGAGGGGCCCATCAGCAGAGTGACCGCAGCCATTCCCAGGCAGAGGACAGCCTGGGCTTGGGGGAGGAGGTCTGAGAAATTAGGGTGTCCTCCATTTATTACTGTAGTAAGAAGGGGTCCCATAAAGGGTTGAGCATGAGAATAAGGATCAAGGGCAGCTGGGGCTGATAGAAGGGGTGGTAGTTCCCAAGAATCTAATGGATAGGGACTGTCACGCACAGGTCTGCTGGTCACTCACCCAACAGACCAGCCAGCAGTCTGCCTCTGCTTTGAGAACCTCTCTGGGGAGAGGCACAGGAGAGACAGGGAAAGACCCTCCTATATGATGTTAAATAACAACCTTTAAAAAGTATAATCTTCCTAGAAGGAAAAAGATACCTCCTTTCTTTTTTTTTTTAGGGGGGGGTCCGGTCATGGGGCCTGAACTCTGGGCCTGGGCGCTGTCCCTCAGCTCTTCAGCTCAAGGCTAGCGCTCTACCACTTGAGCCACAGCGCCACTTCCGGCTTTTTTCTTTTTGCTTATGTGGTGCTGGCATGCAAGGCAAGTGCTCTACCACTGAGCCACCTTCCAGCCCGATACCTCCTTTTTCTTAAGACTATTTCCTTGAGGAAACTTCAGGCTGCACATCCTGTCCCTTTGAGATATATTGTCTCTTCAAAAGCACCATTGGCCTGCTGGTCCTTTCTAAGCCTTACATCTTTCTGAGTCTTGGGTCTTTCCTTGAAAGGTAAAAAAGCAATGTACTGTTCCTGTCTCCCTACCAGTACAGGAATTAGCCTAGATTCCTGACTCTTAAGTTGTGAAGTACCTTCTTATCACAAAAGAGAAGTTCTAAACCTCAAGAGGGGCACGGGTGACCACCCACTTATTTGGTACATTCAGGACTTGTGCTGTCTGGCCCTTTTGCTTCAGGAAAGGATGAGAGTTCTTTTTGTCCTCACAGCTGCATGAGCGGCAGTCTGTGATGCTCACTGCAGTCTGGCTGAGGTGTATTCAGTAATGAAATTATTGGTGCCTCTCCTTTGGATTGGCCGGAGGTTTTATTGTCAATTAATTCCTCCACCTATTTTCAGTCAAAAAAGTGTGTGTGGGCTAGGAAGGTGGCTCAGTGGTAGAGTGCTTGCCTAGCATGCATGAGGCCCTGGGTTCGATTCCTTAGCACCACATAACCAGAAAAGGCCAGAAGTGGCGCTGTGGCTCAAGTGATAGAGCGCTAGCCTTGAGCTGAAGAGCTGAGGGACAGCGCCCAGGCCCAGAGTTCAGGCCCTACGACTGACACAATAAATAAACAAATAAATAAATAGTTTAAAAAAGTGTGTGTGTGTATGTGTGTGTGTGTGTGTGTTCCAGAGAACATCCAGGTGGGTCAGAAGAATTGAGTGTCAGCCCACCCATTCCTTCTTTTAGGAAATGGGCAGAGGCCAAAAGAGGGAGGGAAGAAAAGAAGAAAGAGGAGGCAAGTTGACTCACTGTAGCACACAGAGGGTCTGGTTGGAGGCCAGGGCCTCAGCCATGAACTTGGCACCGTCATCCCTGATCCCGTTGCTCTGGAGGCTGTGGGCACAGGGGGATGTGTCAGTGAAGGAGCAGAAGAGAAGTCTCATTGGTGGCATGAATGCCACTACAATGGGATGCCTCCATGCTACAAGGTGCTGCAGGGGCGCGGGCGGAGAGCCAGATGACCTGTGGAGAAGAGACTGTGCCACCACATGGAGAGGAGAGTCAGCCCTCACACACTGAGTCTGTGAGCACTTGCCTGTTAACTGGGAAGAGGGTGCCGTGCTGTATGGATTGCACAATGATGAGGTCATCAGTAGTCCTCTCTGCAGCTAAAAGCCGCAGCACCAGCCAGGCACCCATGACTCACGCCTGTCATCCTAGCTACTCAGGAGGCTGGGATCTGATTATCTCGGTTCAAAGCCAGCCCGGGCAGGAAAGTCCATGAGACGCTTATCTCCAATTAAGCACCAGAAGACCAAAAGTGGTAGAGCACTAACCTTGAATTGAAGAGCTCAGGGACAGCACCCAGGCCCAGAGTTCAAGCCCCATGACTGACCGCCCCCCCCCAAAAAAAAGTCATAGCACCTAGGTATTGGTGAAGATGTAGAGATACTGGAACCCTCACCCTGCGGGTAGGAATGGAAATGGTCCAGCGTGTATGGAAGATGGTTTGGCAGTTCCTCAGCAGGTCAGATTTGTGACCCAGTAATTCCATTCCTTGGTCTATACCCAAAAGAGTTGAAAACAAGTACTTGAATACTTTATACACAAATATAGCCACTTTGCTCATAGTGGAGACAGACAAAACGTCCACCACTGGATGGAAGGATAAACAAACTGCTCTCCATCTATATGACAAATGCTGTCCAGTCATTAAATGGAATGAGACACTGATAACATGATGCAGTGTGGACAGACCTAGGGAACATGGTGAGAAATGAGGAAGAGCGACACAAAGGGTCTTCCTGGAAAATTCCCTTTGTATGAAATGTCCACGGTTGGTCGGGAAGCAGATGGGTCATCAGGGCTGGGAAGGACCATGGAAAGTGGCTGGTGCTGGATGCAAGGTGGCCTGAGCCGGTGTGCAGATGCTTTGGAACTGAAGCTGACGGGGGCACAGCATTGTGAATGCACTAAATGCCAGTGTACTTAAAAGGCAACATTTTACATTCTGTGAGTTTCACCTCAAGAACAAATAAATTGAAGTAAAACAAGAACACAGAAACACTGCCGGCTCAATGGACTGGATACAGCCACAGGCTCCTCAAAGACAGCCAACCACGCCAGCTTCGCCATGGAGGTGGGCTTTTCAGTATCTCGGGAAACACCAGGACTTTGGGGGTTCGTAGAGGCACAAAGAGGAAGAAAGAGCTGGAACTTGAAACTAGCTTAGGACGTTAGCCTGGGTCCCCAGTGAGGTGGTATCTGGGGCCCCAGGGCCCACAGGTGGCGCTAGAGGCACCAGTTTTCTGGATCCTTTTGGGGCGCAGGGAGCAGGGTGTATTACCTCAGAGAGGCTAGCCTGCGGTTGATCCTCAGCGCGTCCGCCAGCGCCTTGGCCCCCTGTGGTCCGATGGCGTTGCTGCGAAGGCTGGCAGAAGCAAGTGAGAAAAATGACTTCCAGGTAGGGCAGGAGGGAAGAGACTGCAATCACACGGACTTTTAAATCTGTGATCCTTGAAGCCATAGATGAGGGCTTCAGAGTTCATGTTTAGTTGGCCCACGATAGATTCTTACATAGGTAAGCAAGGAAGGAGTGTCTACACCCTCCAGGTGATGCGGAATAGGGAACAGGCCCTGACAGTCCAGTGGGTGTAAGAGTGTGGAGATGAGGGGAATGGTGATTCTAGGTTGAAGGTTGAGAGCTGTGTTCTTCACGGGATGAGGAGGGATGGCCTTGTTTGATTGGCTGGCCTGCCAGTCACTCAGAAAGTCATATAGTCTGGAGAAGCTAGGAACTTGAAACTACTTTAAACAGAAGAGGATAGCATGCCCGGAGCCTACCGGACCGACTCTGGGGAGCCAGGGAATGATAAAACTACAGGCGCAGAACTCCTCATTCCTGTGAATTCTGCTGTCTACTTACTCCAAAGCAGTCAGGCTTCTGTTGACCAGCAGAGATCTGGCCAGAGCTTTGGCCCCTTTGTTACTGATGTGGTTCTCAGCTAGGCTGCTCAAGAAAAAAAAGAGAGGAGTGGTCATTTGGGTATCTGAGGAAGCCCTTGCCCCCCCTGAAGAGAAGGAAGAATGGTAGAGGGGCAGTTATGATCAAGATGTATGGTATTCAAAAATGGCTTTGTGAACATGAAGTCCCCTTGTACAACTAATTGATACCAGTTTTGTTTTTTTTTTAAGCGCCACTTCTGGCTTTTTTCTTTTTCTTTTTTCTTATGTGGTGCTGAGGAATCGAACCCAGGGCCTCAGGCCATGCAAGGCAAGCGCTCTACCACTGAGCCACCTTCCCAGCCCCTGATACCAGTTTTTTTTTTTTTTTTGTCGGTCGTGGCGCCTGAACTCTGGGCCTGGGCGCTGTCCCTCAGCTCTTCAGCTCAAGGCTAGCGCTCTACCGCTTGAGCCACAGCGCCACTTCCGGCTTTTTTCTTTTTGCTTATGTGGTGCTGAGGAATCAAACCCAGGGCCTCAGGCATGCAAGGCTAGCACTCTCCCACTAAGCCACCTTTTCAGTCCTAATGTGTATTTTCTAAAGAATGAATGACTTGGACATTGCAAACAGGAAGATGGCATTGAGGGCCAACCTTAAGGGGGCGGGGAAAGAGCACATGGCCATAGAAGAAATGTTTTCTTTGTTCAGAATAACTTCTGAACGCTACCATGCAGAATAAAAAGTTCCATACGCTAAAATCTCCATGCACCATGGCCGCACTTGTAGTGCTTAGAGACACCCTCCTGTGTGTGCCACTGTCTGAGCCTCACCAGATGCCTTCTCTGCTCTTACAGAGTGTGCAGAAATTAGCAGACTGTCTCCTGAGTCACACACTACCTCTCCTTGAGGTTGGCACGGGCTGGATGAGCCAAGGGGATGATGGGAAAGGCGGTCTGGACCCACGACACAGGTGGGTCTCCGGGGTTAGCGTTACCTGATCTTCTGAATGCGACAGTCTTTCCCACTCAGCACGCTGCCCAGCAACTCCATCATGGGGTCCTGGAACTGGTTATTGTCCAGCCTGGCCAAGGAGAAGCAGTGACAGTGAAGGCTCCTGCCATCCACACGCAGGGCGGGGACCCCCTCTCCTCTGATCTATGCCCTTCACCCCCACAGGGTGCCTGTAAGTTCTGGCCTTCCTCCTGGGGTAGCAACAACCCTGAACACCGTCCACCTCTGTGGGTCCCCATTTCCCAGCTCTGCTTTGTAAACTGCTCTCCGGTCCTGAATGACCCTCATCCCTACATATTTCCTCCCTACTTGCTAAGGTCCGGAGCAGTGGACAGAGCATGGGCTGACAGCCCAGTCTGTAGGCAAAGCTTCTGTCAGCACCGCATGGCTCCCAGGGTCTCATGGGGTTGGATTATGTCTTCAAAAAGGGCAGATTAAAGATGTGTGCTGGTGGCTCACACCTAATCCTAGCTACTCAGGAGGCTGAGATCTGAGGATCACGGTTCAAAGCCAGCCTGGGCAGGAAAAGTCAGTGAGAGTTTTATCTCCAATTAGCCACTCAGAAAACCAGAGGTGGCACTTGGCTCAAGTGGTAGAGTACTAGCCTTGAGCTGAAGAGCTGAGGGACAGCACCCAGGCCCAGAGTTCAAGCCCCACAATGGACAAAAAAAGGGGGCAGATTGAAGTGCTAACCCCTAGTTCCTCAGAAATGTGATGTTATCCAGAGTAGGGCCCTTCCATATTCATGGTTAAGCAGACATCACACTGGCAGACACTCAGAAGGCCTCTAACCCAGTGTGGTGGTGTCCTAGGGGAGGTCAGGGCCCTGAGAGGCTGACAACACCCCTCCATGTGACAGTGGAGTCCAGGTCTGGTAGGAGACACTTACAAACCAAAGACATGTGATCGCAAGGATTGCCTGGCTCACATCTAGAAGGGCAGGAGGGGCCTCCTCCAAGGGCCCTTCAGATGCTGATGTCTTGACTTCTGTTTTGTGGCCCCCAGAACTCTGAGAAGGTGAGGTGCTGTGGTGTCGGTACCCAGCTTTGAGCACTCTGCTAGAGGCAGCAGAGCCGTAGCCATTCTGGGTCTGTCTGCACTCTCCCACGCACCCTGTACCCTGTTTCCTCACCTGAGGCTCTGGCAGTAGAAAAGCTGGGGCAGCAGACTCTGGAAAACTCCCTGTCCCAGGCACAGGGACAGGTTAATCTCTCGGGAACAGGTGTCTGACACTTGCAAGAGGTAGGCCAAGGCAGCCCAGTGTTTGGGGCCAGTCAGCTTGGCCAGGGCCCCGTTCTGCAAAGCCTCTTCCACGCTGCGGGCCAGCTCTGTGTGTTGCAGCTCATGCAGGCAATGCAGGATATTGACTGAGCGAGCACAGACTGCAGTGTTGGGGTGCAGGCACCCCTGTAGGAGCTCGGCCACCTGGGCGTGGTAGGCCTGGTGCTCGCCTTGGGCCAGTAGCAGAGAGCTGGCCAGCAGGGCATTGACCCGTGGAGACAAGAGGCCTGCGAGGAAGCGCAGGAATACATCCAGCCTTCCATCCTCAGCCTGCATAGCCCGCTGGGCTGCGCTCCTGAAATGCGCCAGGAAACCCAGCCTGGGCCATGACATGCCACTCTCGGTGAAGAGATCAAAGATGGCCCTCTTGGATGCACTGTAGTAATAGGTAGCTGCCACAAACTCCTGCAGGGACAAGTGGTTGAAACAGTAGGCCACAGAGGAGGTTAGTGTCTCCTCCCGCTGCAGGAAGCAGCCACACAGGGTGCCCTGCAGCAGGGTGAGGTCCACACCGAATGCCTTCATGTCTTGCTCATAAAACACATACTTCTTCTTGAGCAGCCCATGGAAGGCCAGCCGACCCAAGGTCCCTACCACCTTGCGAGCACTGTGGGCTACCTGCTCGATCCGTGGGTTCCCCTTGCCCTTTTCCTGGCCCTCCCCGCCGAGAGCCATCCTGAAGTACCAAGAGTAGAGTTCACACAAGGTCTGTGGGGGCCCCAGCCCCACATTGTGGAGTGCCAGTCTGCTGCGGTACACGTGACCCAGCGCCACCCCAGTGAGCTTGCAAAATGCCGGGACGGTACACATCACATACAAGGCCCTGTCTGTCTGCACCTGGCTCAGGACCTGGCCCAGGAGGGTCTGGTCCTCTGGGAAGGTCTGCTCCAGACACGCCTGGATCTCTTCCCTGGTAAAGCCCCGGATCTCTGTCATCCTGTCTATGAGGCCTCCTGGGATCTGCCCAGCTGCACTAGGGCGTGAGGTGATCCACACAGAAACATCTGGAAAAAGGTTGCCTCGGATGATGTTGGTAATCAGGTGGTCCACTTGGATGTCCTTCTTTGGGTCCGTGCAGGCCATGGTGTTGGAGAAATCCAGGGGTGTCTTGCACTCGTCTAAGCCATCCAAGACCAAAAGGACCCTGGCTGGGGCCATGGCTGCCAGTCCAGCCTCCCCGACAGTTGGGAAGGCAGAGCAGACGAGTCTGTCTGCAGAAAGCTTCTCATGGGTGTTGAGGTCCCGGAAGGTCAGGGGCAGCACCAGCGAGAAGTCCTTGCCCACCTGTCCCCGGGCCCAGAGGTGCACAAAACGCCTCACCAGGGTGGTCTTGCCCATGCCAGCCACGCCGACAGTGATGGAGATCCGGGGTGGGATGGACACTCGGGACAGAGGCAGGAAGAGCCTGTCAAGGGGGATGGTCCTGGCCGGGCGCCAGCCCCCACGCATGGCTTCTACCTGCGTGAAGTCGTGTTCCCTTAGCTGTAGGTCTGTCAGGCCATCCACCAGCAGGAGGCTAGCCAGCCGGTGTGAAGAGCCGCCCAGCCCCTGGCCGCTTCCTGTCCTGCTCAGCAGAGCCTCCCGGTGCCTCTGTATCCTAGAGTCTGCAGGCCAGCAGGCCAGAGAGCAGGGCAGGTGAGGGCCACAAGCAAGGCAAGGAGGTCCCTGTGTGCCCTTCCCCTGGCCTCCCAGGCTGGCCTTACCATTGCTGTGGGGTACCTGGGGGGAGTCCGGCGTCCTGTCCGGGGCTGGTAGGTTCTGATCAAGCTGACTCCCTTTCCCAGCCAGCAAGTCCACGAGGGCCTTGACCTGCTCAGCCGGGGAGCTGGCACCGTGGATCTGGTTGGCCTCCCCACCTGACCGCATCTCCTGCTTCCTCATGGAGTCTCGGATTATGACCAGGAACTGTGATGACAGGACCCAGACCTGCTGCCTGCCATGCCTCTGTACAGCAGCCTGACAGGTGGGTGAGCCCCGAGAGCAGGGCAGGACCCCCCTTCCCTCCCCAGCCATGCGTGGACCACCGGCTTGCCTCTTAGATGAAGCTCCAAGAGCTTTTTGGTCCTGGACAGTGAGAACTGTCACATGGATGCAGGGGCCCAGGGGACCAGGCCTGGGGTTCTGGCTCAGACCTTGGCTCTGCCACTTACCCGTCGGGTGACCCTGGGTGGGGTGTGTCACCACTCTGCACATTGGTGTCATTTGTGACCTGGAAACGGTGGTAAGGGTATGAGTAGACTTTCTCAAAAGGAGGGAGGAATGAAATTGCCAGTCTGGAAGGAAATAAAGTGCATGCTTCTCCAGGTGAAGTACATTCTGGAAAAAGAACGGTGGTAAGGAGACCATTCCTTGACACCGTAATGGAGCAAATGTGCTGTGCACGAGTCCAGCCCAAAGAATGTCCAAATGGCAAGAGGGAGCCCTGGTGTAAATGGGGTTTGGAGTGGTTGCGTGGAGTCTCTGGAGGAAGCAGAGGTGGATGGGAACTCTGTACTTCATCATCAATTTTTTTCTTCCTGTAAACCTAAACCTCTAGGATGTGAAGAGTTTAGAAAAGGTAGAGGAGAGGGAAGGGAGGGAGCCTCTGCCCTTAGCTTTCCTGGGCTGTCCTGGAAGCCCGGGGTTTCTGGGCTGCGGGGAGCCCTGTTTGCTGTGTACCAATGCGGAGACACAGCGTGGCAAAGCTGTGTCGTGTGTTCCACCTGCCCCAGTCCCAGTGCTTCCCTTGCCAAGAACAGCCACTCTGTCTGCAGCTCCCTGAGCCTGTCCACCCTCTGTCCCTCCTGACCAGGCACAGGACGCACAGCCGTTCCTCCAGCAGGCCCCAGAGACTCGGGGAAGGGTCAGTCACGTGGCCCACTGCACTGGTGGCCACGCTGCGTTTCAAACTGACTCAGATGAAAAGCCGGGTGTGGTGTTTCATTCTGTAATCCCAGCTATTCAGGAGGTAAAGACAGGCCAGCCAGGGCGACTTACTGAGATCCTCTCTCAAAATAAAATTGTTAAAAAGGGCTCTAGACAAAGCATTTGCCTGGCAAGTACAAGGCCCTGGGTTCAATCCCTGGCCCAGCCGGGCCTGGGCAATTAGTTTCTCTCTAGCTAACAACACGCTTGATGCCAACAGACTCCCTGGCTTTGGATTTTATTGGGGATCCCTGGCGTTTTAATGTGGCGTGGAAATGTTAGAAGAACATTGAGTTAGAAGTAACTAGCACTCCCTAGCCATTGAGCAAATTAGCCAGTGCCTGGGATAGTCTGGGATTACTAGAAATGGGGCCGGACAACAACGCCCTCACTATATTTCTGCAACATCCTCCCGGCTCTTCTCACTCTTTTATTCTTCTAAGCACCAGCCCTGCCTTTCCCAGCCAGCAAGTCCTCTAGTAATACAGATGTGCATTCTCTGGGACAAGCCGCTGGCCTCCTGAATCCCGACAGAAATGAGCACTTATGCCTACTGAGACACTCATACCAGAATGCGTCTAACTACCATTCTGCGTTCTGTCTGTATGAGTTTGACTGTTCTAGGGACTTCCTGGGTGCAGTGTGAGGGTCTTTATCTTTTGGTGTCTGTCTTGTGCCCAGGCCAGTGCTTCCTTCCTTTTTACAACTGAAGTATCCCATTGTGTGTATAGACACGCTTACATCCAGTGATGGAACCTGGGGTCTGGTGGACTATGCCGCCGTGGACACGGTTGTATAGCTAACTATCACTGGGAGACCCTGCTCTCCGTTCTCCCAGAGTGGGACTGTTGCATCATATGATCATTCTATGGCGCTCAACTCTTTGTTGTCTTTGCTTTTTTTTTTTCTTCCTGAGACAGGGTTTTGCTATGTAGCCTAAGCTAGCATTGAACTCAGATCCTCCTGCTTCAACCTCCCCAGAGCTAGGATTGCAGGCAGGCGACACCATTAAAAAAAAAAAAATCCATGGTGAGGGACTGGACTAACGGGAGGATGAACAGGTGGACGTGGTTGTGGGATGGGGCAGGCCCTGCCTTGAGCCTGGGAATGGGCCCCTAGCCCTATGAGACCCCCATGGAGGGGTCAGTACTCCTCCTAACCAATTATACATCTTTCTTCCCTACCTTCTTAGATTGAGGGTTTCCAAATTTAGCAACTTAAAATACAAGGACACAAGTCACGCACTGGTGGCTCATGCCTAGTTACTCAGAAGGCTGAGATCTAAGGATCATGGTCCAAAGCCAGCACAGGCAGAAAAGTACCTGTGAGACTCTTACCTCCAATTAACCACTCAAAAACAGGAACTGGTGGTGTAGTTCAAGTGGTAGGGTGCTAGCCTTGTGCACAAAGAGGCTCAGAGACAGTGCCCAGGCCCTGAGTTCAAGCCCCAGGACTGGCAAATAAATAAATAAACAAAATGAAATGAAAATAGAAATAAAAAATACAAGGACACTTGTGAAATTTTACTCAGACAAACCACATTTTTTTTTTTTTTTAGTATAAGTGTGTCCCTTGGATATATTATATATACAAAGCTCTGTTTCTGGCTTTTTGGTGGTTTATTGGAGATACAAGCCCCATATCCTTTTCTGCCCGGGCTGGCATCCAACTACAGTCCTCAGGTCTCAGCCTCCTGAGTAGCTAGGATTACAGTGTCGATCACTAGCAGCCAGGTTTGGCCACAGCTTCTTAGATTCTCTTCTCCTAATTCCTTGCCTTTGTCCTGTTCCCTGGGTCTGGGGATTCAGTGAGCGGCCATCTTGAGGTGGCCACTGAGCCCACTGAGGAAGTCACACTTGTCCCCGAGACATCCTGGTGAGGGGCAGGCCCAACCTGGGGAGCCCAGCCTGCAGCTCAGGATGGTGAGGGGCAGGCCCAGGCTCAGGGAAGCTCGTACCCCCAAGAGAAGAAGCCCTGAGGCCCAGAAGCCTGGCCCCCAGGAAGGCACTGTAGCCAATATCCTGTGGCCACCCCGCACCAGCCCTGTGCGGCGCCTGTTCCCAGCAGGCCTCTTGCATGGAGCCTCGTCCTGCTCAGGGGTGTGGCAGGGAGCCCTGGGGGTGGGGGTGGGGGACATGCGCTGACACCAGGTGACATGGGATGGCAGCTGTAAACTGGACCTTGACACACACACCCTTTACCTTTGGGGCAGGGGCTGTTTCCTCCATTTACAGGTGGGCAGCCAAGCAGAGGAGTAACTGGCCTGCTTGGGGTCCCACAGCCAGGCATGGAGGGTGGGGATGGAGCCTGGCCTGTCTAGTCCTGTCCTTACACCCTGTCACTAGTACCTGGGTGCTGGGCTTTGTCCCTGGGGCCCATCCTGGGCCTATGTTAGTTCAGTCCATGCTGTGAGCCCCTCTAGCTCCAGCAGTTCCCAGCACCCAAAGGAAAGCTTCCTCTAGTTTCCCTCCCTGCCCAGAGAAGCTCAAGCCATAAAGGTCTCCATCTTCCTGCCAGCTGCCCCTTCTCCCTCCCCTGTCCCTCCTAAGGCTCAGGCTCTGCTTACCTCTGTGGCCTTGATGCTGTTACAAGGATGTGAAGACTGGGAGGCTTGGGGACTCATGTCCACGTTTCTGAGCTTGGCCCTGCTCCGGCAGGCCCTGGGTGGTGCCTGTCTGAAGGGATCAAGGTGCCTGACCAGGCTGACCACTCTCGGGCAGGGGGTGACAGACTCGCCACCTCTACCCCCTCATCACACCCCGGCTGTCAGTGCAGCTCCGGCTCCTCACCTCTTCCTGTACGGCCTCCACCTCCACCTTCCTTCCTGTCTGATTTCAAAAGCCAACCACCTCCCAGACAGATCAATGAGCTGAGTTTCCTTGGGCTCGTCTCTGGCTTTGTCATCACCCCAAGTGTCGGGGGGGAGCCACATTGGGGTCTTGGTTCTGGGACTGAGCATCCCTTCAGACCTGATGCTCAGGAGAACGTGGTACAGTGCCAAAGCTGCAGACCTGCCACCTCCCCGTCACCAGGGAAGACAGGCACCATCTGCAGAGGGTCGCTTTTAGGTGGGCAGGCAGGGGAACCAGTGAGCATCTGATTAATTTACACCCTCTAGCCCAGCTCGCCCCGCAGTGACTTCCTGTGACCCCACATCACCTGAAGACAGGTCCCCCGAGTCCTGAAACGGTAGAATGTGGCTATTTACAGCAGTCAGGAAGTCACTGTATCTGGGGGTGTTGGGGGGCTCAGCAGGTGTCTGCACTGACAGGGAAGGGGGTTGTGAGGGGTGAGAACATGTCCAGACAGAACAACACAGAAAAGTCACGACAAGGCCAGTGTGTGGAGCACCTTTCAGTGATAGGGAGCACCTCACGACGTGGTCGCTGGGGGAGGTAGGAGTCAAGGAACACGGGGTGCCTCGGGTGTGAACTTTCCCCAGCAAGCAAAGGGGAGTCCGGTTGAAGAGCGGGAGACTGGGGCGTTCAGAGAGCTCTGGGACTCCACGTGGGATTGCTGTCAACCCTCCTCCCGTGTGATGGATGTGGGGGAACCTCAGGTAGCCCACTGGAGATGCTGTTTGGGGCCTGCCTGTCACCTCAGCACTCGGGAGACTGGGCCAGGAGGATTTTCAGTTTGAGGCCAGTCTGTTCTGTACTGCAAGTGCCAGGCCAGCCTGGGCGGCCTAGTGAGATCCTATCTTAAAAACGGAGTGGGGAGCAAAGAAACCTGTGGGTTTAAACAGCCCAGTGTCAGAAACGCTATTTCAGGGGAGCCGTTGGTCTCCCTCCCGTCCAGCTGTGCTTTCCGAGTACCCCAAAACTTGTTGGGTGCTGGTGGGACAGACAGTGGCCCCTCAAGAAGCCTGGTGAGGCTCCTGGCAGGCGGAGCCTCAGCTGTGGGGTGCAACGGTGTCTGAAGCCAGGCGCCCACAGGATGTTGAAAACCACAGGGGTCGAATGAGTCTGTGATCTGCAACAGGCCAGAGAGGCTCACTGGTTCCCACGGACCGATGCCAAGCCTCTTCCATGGAACCTTCCAGACCCACCCTCCTCCCATCCCTATATCAGAGGAATGTCCGTCGGCCCTCAGGACTCATCTGTATTTTCACTGAGCAGGCTGAAGTAGGCGGGCCGTTCTCCTGGTGTGTGTGGTGGTGGTAATGTGTGTGGTGTGTGCATGTGCGCATGCGTGTGAAGAGTAGCTCTCACTCCCGGCTTTCTGTCCACCAAGGGTGCAGTCAGTGTGGCGTCAGATACAGACCCCAGTGTCCAGGCCTTTACTCCCTTGGCTGGGCCGGTGGCTCCTTGCCCAAGCTAAGCTTGTGTCTCTCTTTTGGCTGTTTCCATGGGACAAGGCCAGGCCGTAGCCAGGGCTGGGCCACACACAGGAAGTAGACAGGCCAGAGGGCTGGTCAAGTCAGTGAGGTGTGGACGATCAGGTTGTGTCCTACGAACACCAGTTCTGCTGCAGGCTGTGGTTCTTTCTTAGGCGAATTCCCCAGCTTCTGGAAGGGAGCTCCTCCTCCCGCCTCATCCACGGAGCAGCCCTGGGCCCACTTGGCTTCTCCAGCCTTGCTGCAGGTGCCCAGAGGCAGCTCTGCAGCCTGCTCTCTGGGCTGAGCAGCTTCTGTGGAAGGAGCTGGTGCTCTCCTGGACAAGCCGCACATGCTGCATGGCAGAGGGCTCAGGGTCTGGGGAAAGGTGGCACACACGTGCGCCTCCTGCAGGCCGCCTGGACCATCTGCCATATCCATAACTTTGTATGGTTGGGGAATGTTATAAGTATCAGAAAAAAGGGATCCCACTGGATCTGGAGGGGCCCGCCTGTGCTGGTGACACTGTTGAGCAGTGGGGGTCGGGCTCAGCACCTCTCGCAGGGTCACCTGGTGTGGGGACAGGGGACAGGGAATGCACATGAGAAATGAACAGAAAGAAATGGAGAATCAGCAGCCATCGAACTCGTGGCCTGCATCACTAGTGACTTTACTGGAACACAGATCTACATTTCTATAAAGCCTTCTTTGTTTTATTGCACATCATAAAAAACCAACTGCACTGTATTTAAGATGAGGTCATACGCAGGATGAGGAGGCCCAACCTTCTCTGTGTGTTCCATACTGCTTCTGGGCCGCAGCTTTAACACAGGTGGGTGGAGCCCGCTGCCACTCACCATGTCTGTTGGGGGGGTTTCAGACTTGAGCCCTGGTCCCCTGTCCTGTCTGGAGACTGCTGGTGATGACAGGTGTCTGGGAGGGACACCAGGCAGGAGCAGCACCTGGGTGTGGCTGTGAGAGGCGCGCCCGCCTGGTCTGCTGGTGGTGGCTGAGATTAGCCTGAGTGCCGCCGAGCTGGGCAGGCAGCTGGACCTGAAGTCCACCTCGGTGCACTCTGGGACAGTTGTGCTTGGGCCTAGCGACCCACTGACAGATGGGGAGCAGTCAGACCTCGTGAACACATGGGGGGAGACACGCTGGGCGACTGAGGGAGGGTCAGACCCTACAGGCAGTGGGAAGAATGGCCCCGCTGGCGGGGAGCAGAGGGAAGGGTGCAGGCACGTCTGTTGTACAGGCACAGGCTGATGTTTGAGGGCGACATGCCTGTGGAGCCCTGACCCCCGCGGGCTCCAAGGCTCTCACACAGACGGCCCGTGGACTGGAGCGGATCGGAGTGGGGGGATGGGGGCCTGTTAGTTCCGCTCCTTTCTCTTCCTGCCCATGCGCTGCTGCCCTCTCTTCTTGAGCTTCTCCTTCCGGGCTGCAGCGGTGGTGAAGGTGATGCACTGGGTGTCCAGGATGTCCAGCAGCTTGGTTGTGGCTATGTGGATGCCATCCCGCTTCAGCTCCGCCTGCAGCTCCGCCAGCTCCAGGGGCTGGTACTTCAGCACCTTCTGGTACAGGTCCGGCCTAGAGCGGACGTAGCGGCGCAGTGCCGCCTCCATGTCTGCTGTCTGGATGGCTGCCTGCGACGCGCTCAGCTCCTCCCCTTCCCCTGCAGACTCAAGGGTTGCTCCGAATTCGCAGGAAGAACTGGAAAGAACAGATGACATTTTGTGATACCCCTTGGACAAAGGGCAGGTTTGACAGAGGGAGCTTTTATGGCCCGGTGGAACGGCACATGGCAGGACCAACCCCCGGGTCGCAAGATGCTCCTCAGCGTGCCCTGCGGGCAGCTGGGCCCCTAGGCTCTGCAGCTGGCTGGCTGGAGTTCCTCCTCAGCTGGAGAGCCAGGGTGGGACAGGGCCTGTGCAGGGAGGGAAAGGGCTTTCTAAATCACCTGGGTTTCTAACAGCTCAAGCCTAGAAGTCACTGGGCTCCTGGACTTCGGCTGACACCCTCTCAGCCCCGCTGCTCAGAGGCTATCGAGTGGTGCTGACCTGTGGCCTCCATCTGGTTACCTTTGTGAGCTAAAGGAGCTGTCACTGCTGTCCACGGAGGTGGCCACTGACTCCTGGGAGCCTAGGAACTGCGTGTCACCGGCAGGACCTGGAGAGGCTGGAGGTGGCCCACGGGCTGGTGACCTGCTCAGGAGTGGGATGCTTTCACCAGGCTGCAGCACACAAGGTTGGGGGCCCTTGGTCTTCGTAGGCCCCTTGGACCTTTGGGTCCCAGGACTCAGGGATGCCGTGAGCTGGGTGTGGCCTCTGGCGCTCGAAGGCTTGTCGGTGTCGGTGGTGAGGGTCTGGCTGGAAGGCACCTCGGGGGGCACCTGGGAGGGCTGGATCTCATCCTCAGATTCTGACTCCAGGGTCTGGTGCGTATATTGGAAAATCTCCTTTAGTTTTAGAACCATCTGGCGTTTGGGCAATGGGCGGACTCCAAATCTGCACAGAGAAACAGAGCAGCGTTCACTTAAACACTGTGTGGCTACAGTCCCACTGCCACTCGGGGGAGAGCATGGAGACCCGTTTCCTAGAGGAGATCTAAGTCTCATTTGTTGGCTTCATGGGGTCAAATAACCTGGAAACAGAATGCAGAAAGCCAGGCGGGTCCCTGCTCCCTCGAGACAGACTGTAGGACTTCCCTCCCACGCACAGCCCACTGCAGGGCCACGCGCGGGACCTCTGACTCCAGGCTTTCTAGGCCCAATTATGCACCGGATGGAAAAGACCAAGTATTAGAAAGCGCTGAAAGACACGCACCTGTCCAGTTCCTTCTTCAGCACTGGGGTCTCCATGATGGAGTACTGTGGCATGGGAGTTATGGGCACTTTGGGGGGCAGGTTCTTCTGATCAGCACCTTTGGGGTAAGCACAAGAAGCACAGGTCTCAGTGTGAGGGAGACGGGCTTGTCACTACTTCCAGTCCTGGAAGTGTCACCAAGAGAAATACAGCATTGAAAGACTCCAGCCAGCAACGGCTGGTAGATCAGGGCAGGCAACTTCTCCAAGTAAGATGGAGAATGACCAGTGAGCACAGGAAGAGGTGCCGACATGGGTGTGTCTAAACACCACTCACTCTCGTGGCGAGGCCGAAGGGCACAGGGGCCAGAGTGGGGGTGGGGACGGGAGGCACTGAGGCTGCTCGGGCTTGCCTGATCCCAGGGCTCCGGTGAGATGCTTCATCTCAGGGCTGCTGCTCCAGACATTTTTTTTTTTGGTCAGTTGTGGGGCTTGAACTCTGGGTCTGGGCGCTGTCCCTGAGCTCTTCATCTCAAGGCTAGCGCTCTACCACTTGGGCCGCAGCTGTGTATGTGGTACTGAGGAATCGAACCCAGGGCTTCATGCATTCTAGGCAAGCATTCTACCACTAAGCTGCATTGCCAGCCAAGGCCCAGATTTTTTTTTTTTTTTAACAAGTGTCCAGGTGAACATTTAGATGGAGACCAGGCAGGCTGAGGAAAAGCTGACTGGCTATGAAATGGATGTTGGTAGCTATCTGAGTCTCCCGTGCTGTGGAGAAGGGTCTGGAAGGCAGTGGGAGAGTATTGTCCAGGTGAGCAAGGCCTTTGGCATTGCTTTTACCCATCTCCAGACCCATTCGTGAAGTCAGTGTAAAACATAAGGCCCCTCCCAGGCCACTTACTTGGTGTCTCTGGCCTTGCTGGTTTCTGAGTTTGGGCATTTGGTGTCTGTGCTGCAAAAGGAGCCTCTGGAGAGTTCTCTTCCTCATCCCAGTCGTCCCACAGAGCTGGGTTCAGGAAGCTCAGCCTGCTGCTTCCTGGGGTGCTGGCCCGTGGGGGCCGCGCTGGCAGTGCCTCCTGGCCGGCCACGCTTCCCCGGTTCAGGCTGGTATCTGGGAATCCTGGGGAGAGGCGGCCACCACTGTCCAGGGCCTCCTGGGCCCGCCTTCGGGGACTGCTGGTACTCAGAGGGCCCGTGCGCTCCAGGTTCAGGTGGTCAATTGGAATTGGTGAAAGAGGCTCAACGTGCCAGGAGTAGTCACCTGCCGGAGCTGGGGGGTCACTGTCCTGAAGGGGGCTGCCGTCAGCCGGATGGGAGGCCACCACCACCTCCTCCTCATCTTCGCTGTCTCCAACTTCTACCACTTCACTCACGGCAATCTCATTTGGCAGGCCCAGCCCTGGTGGCGAGTGTTTCTGGTACTGCCGAGTGAAATCAGGGCAGCTTCTTGGGACAGGACTTGGTGCCAGCAGGGAGAGCCTGTGGCGCCTAGAGTAGGGGCAGCTGACAGGTGACATGTGGGGCCTGGTGACCGAAAACTGTGCTGTTTCTGGCCCAGGCCTGTGTTTTGTGGAGGTCTTGGACAGGCGCCGAGCCTTCTTGTCTGCTGAGGGCCTCATCCTGAGGCTTGTGATTTGGGTCTGTGATGAGCAGTCACGGCTTCTGCCGGCCAGGGGGGTGGCAGGCACCAGCCACGAGGTGTCTATGGTGGCGTCCTCCTCAGGGCTGCTGTCCTGGTCACAGAACAGCTCAGGTGAACCTCTGCCGCCCACCATGACCTGCCGGTCCGGCTGGCTGTCCCCTTCCTCTGGCTGCAGCCCAGCTCCTCTCCCCAGTGGGCTCGGAGAGTCTTCCTGATCTGCGTCCACATCAATGGCTGAAAACAGCTCGGAGGACTTGAGGCTGACTTCTAGGACATTCCCTCCTGGGGGATCGTTAGAAACTGACTTGGTTTTTGTGTGTTCGAGCTCCAGCTCTTCGTCTGAATCCAGCAACAGGATGACTTCATCCTCTTTGTTCACATGGGATGGAGGACTCTGGGGCCTGGAGCTCAAGTTGTCACACTTTGACTGGGTCAGGTCAATGGGCTGAGAATTTTCTGGGGAAATGTGAATGCTCTTGTTTTTGCCTTTCAGTGTGGAACTCGGTCTTTTGCCTCTCTGGTGGCCTGGCTCCTTAAGTACTGTAAGGTAGCTGTTGTCCCTCTTGCGCTTTGACGGTTTAACTGGAGAGGGTGACCTAGGGGAAGCCATCAGGGAAACGCCGCTGTGCGCGTGGGGCGCTGGCAGGGGCGTGTTGCCGGTGTGGCGAAGGTGAGGCTGGGACTGGCTGGGATGTCCACTCCCAGGGGACTGTTTGAGGCCGCCGCACAGGGGTTGCTGAGGGGTCGGGGGACAGACTGTGTCTGTCCCTGACTCCTCGACCGTGTCATTGTGCTCATTGTGACTGCTTGGTGTTGGGGACAGTTCAAAGAATTCATCTTGAGTTGACGCAAGGAGCTGCTCATAATCATGGACTGTGATTGGGTGCACGGGGGAGCCATCTTTACTCCCTGCCCGGCAGCCCGCTGAAGGCGTCTCCATCGTTGCCTCCTGCTCCTGGGTCTCTGCCTTCTCTACTTGGTCTGAGCACTGGTCCTGGAGCAGAAGGGGGTGTTTTGAATTTTCCCAGCTGGCTGGAATCTCAGCTTTTTCTGGCCAAACTGACTCCGCTTGTTCTGGCTTTTCCAGCTTTTCATCCCCCTGGCCTCCTAGCTGGGCAGGCTTTGTGCCGTGACCGTCCTCCCCCAGCTGGCCCTCGTCCCTGTCTTTGTCTCTTGCTTTTTCCTCTTGGAGCAACTTCCGTTGAGTAGCTGCAAATTCATAAATTTCTTCCATTTCTGCTTCATTCACTTTTTCTCTGTCTTCTTTGTGGTCCTCAAATTTCAACAAAGTCTCTGCTTCCTCCTCTTCATCTCCCCACACTGACCTCAAGAGTTCTTGGAAATTCTCCGCTCTGCTTTCACAATTCTCATCTTCCTTCTCCTGTTGTTCACACTCCATGTCTGTCACAACTGGCACTTGTTCACACAGATAAGCAAGGTCACTCACACCAAACCTGCAACAGGAAAACTGGGTTACCAGTGCTCTGCACAGAGGCTTCTCTGGGCACTGGGGCCAGTGGCCAGAGCAGCCTGCATGAGGAGGAGCAGGTGCGCCTCACTGTGGCCTTCCTCCACTCTCCTACACCCAGGCTTTCTGAATGCGAGGCCTCCACAGCTGCAAACATAAAAGGGGGTCGGACTTTCTGTACATCCCAGGAGTTGGCAGAGCAGTGATAGCAAGTACAGGTGCTGATTTCCCCTGGCAGGCCCTCCAGGCAGGCAGGGCCGCCAGCTAGTCAGTCAGCCGCTCCACAAGCTAATCAGTGCATTTTAGGCCCCCAGAAAAGCACCTGAGGGCACTGCTGCCTGGGATGAATGGGCCTTTGCCCCAGAGACCCTCCCCCTCCCCTTGAGCCCTGCTGCTACTATCCCGCCCTCGTGGGGACCATCCAGGAGGTGTGCTATGTGGGGTCCTAAGGCCATGCGCCAGTCATAACATGCCAGAGAGGCCTTTCAGCCAGTGCTCCACTGACTTCTTAACTGCAATGCTCGATGCAGGGGGGCTGCTGGCCATAAACTTGGGGTTAAAAGATATAAACCAGATTGGAGGGCTCTGTTTTTTGTTCTTATGTGTTTGCACTGGGGCTTGCCAGGCTGGGAGCTCTCCCTTAGCTTCTTTGTTCAAGGTTAGCACTCTACCCACTTGAACTAAACCTTCATTTCCAGCTTTTTGTTGGATCACTGAAGAGTCTCATGGATTTGTCTGTCAAGGCTGGCTTTAAACTATGACCCTCAGATCTCAACCTCCCGAGTAGCTGGTTTATAGGTGTGAGCTGCCAGAGCCCTGCTGGGAAGTCTTTTTGATGGCCTGCATTGTTGCCTGCCAGCCCCTGTCCCTGACACTCAAACACTGTGGAGCACACGGAGTTAATCATCTCAACCTGAGGGCCAGAGTGTGCAGGTCGGGAGCCAGGTGGGAAGGCAGGTCTAGGTCTGCGGCATAGAGATACTGCAGGAATGCGCAGACTGCTTCGGCCCTCACGCTGCTCAGCAGGACACGCTGGGTTTGATCCCCGTCCTCCACAGCAGAGAAGCCTTCACGGTTTACCTAAGGACAAAACAAAATGCAGAGGCGCGCTGATGGACAGCGACTGAGGGGTGCCCGTGAAGTTTCTGGCCTCAGAGAGCACCAGACCCCAGGAAGAGTGGGTGACACGTGTGACTTTTCTTGCCCAGAATTCCGCAGGCTGGACTTTCATTTTCAAAGTCATAGTGAAGTGGATGTTCAAGGAATTGCTTGGTTTTCACCTGATAGATGTATCCTGGGCTCTAGAACCTTCTGACAAAAATATAACTGTTTACTGAGTTCTTGTAAGTCAACACATTGGAGGAGACACTAAACCTTAGAGATCAATAGTGAAAATTCATAATGATGCAAATGGGGGAGAAAAGAAACAATTCTGGGGGAAAGAAAGGGTTTTTATTTAAAGAAACTGAAAATAGGCCATTTCCCAACCTTGAGGCCATTTCTTACCTCCCGCTTCTCACTGAAGCAGAGCATAGGAATCAAGCTGTGGAGTGGAGTGAGATGGAGGAGGGTGGGAAGGCCAGGCGGGTGGGTGTGCGACCGAGGGAGGGGCTAGGTTGCTGCTAACCCGCATACTTACATACTGAATGAGCAGCGGACATCGGGCATAAAGAACAAACTTGTGGGCATAAAGCGTGTCCCCGCTGTCTGTCTGGAACTGGACATCGCTCAGGTGTGGGTTATTGACCATGGTGCCAAAGTCAGAGACCAGCAAGCCGAGGGAGTGCTGCAGTGGGGCAGAGGACAGCGCAGTGAGCTTCCTCCATCACTGCCTCTACCTGGCCGTGAGGGGCGCTGGAGACGGCCAAGAGCCTCGGTGCTCGTTTGCACTCCACAAAGTGTCCACGAGGTGGTGGGGGGTCCCCACCCCTGGGTTATGTTAAGGCCCTTGGCCATCCAGAATAAACCCACACCCTGAGCTGGAGCTGCTCAGGGACCTGCCACTCTGAGGCCACGGGAGGGACATCACCAGGTTGGCCCTCAGAGTGAGGTGCTGGGCTGACACTGGTCCTCATGGGTGACACCCAGAACTCTAAAGTTTCCATCTCCAACACAGGATGCTGAACTGCTGGTTGAGACCAGTTCAAGACACATGCGCACAAGGGCCCAGTAAGTCCCAAGCGAGTGCCTCAGTGAAACAGGCAATCTAAGATCCCTCTGGACCCCCAGCACGAAGCTGGCGATGGGGCTCAGCTGTTGAGGTATCCACGGTGTCCAAAGGCAGGAGGACGGCAGTCTTTTCTAGCCTGACAAAGGGGACAGATGAAGGAGTGGGCTCTCAGCTGCTCTATTCTGGGGTTATCAGGATATGTCCACCCTATGGGAAGCAGAGATCGTGGGGCACGAGCACCAGTAGTCAGACCACACAGCCAGGGCAGAGCGGACAGGCTGGCTTGCGTCCTTACCGACGCGAGGCTGCTCCTCTCCAGGGGCTTCTCCTTGGGAGACAGGACAAACCCAGTCAGTGGAAGTTGGCTGGGCATCACATCCAAACCTGAGAGAAGGATTTCCACATTAAAATGATGTCAGGCCTGGCAGCCGTCGTTTGCCAAGCAGACCACATGGAAGGCAGGCCTCGCTGGACCCAAGGGCATCTTCATTTCATGCAGGCTCCTCTGACCACTTACACTCCCCCAGGAAGACAGACAAAACTAGGCTGTCTTTGGTTAAAGTTTAAGGAAGTTGTGACAGACCTAAATGTCTACATCATATTCCCTTCGAGGAAACAAAAGAACCCGAGCCTGTATTCTCCGTGTGCTGCCTTCCCCCTGGCACACGGCGGGGGTCCAGCCTGCCTGGGAACTGGTGGGTGAGCCTCGACATCCCCCAGTCTCACCTTCCGAGCTGATGGGTAATGGGCTGGCGCTCAGCCCCTCCTTGGCCAAGTCCATGAGGTCCTGGAGCGCCTGGTGCTCCCTCTGGCTGGCCGACGGTGGCTGACAGCCAGGACTGACAGCAGGACTGCTTTGGAGGGCAGGTGGCTGTTCAGATAGCACCAGCTCAAGTTCAGGCTCCTGAAGGCGGTGGGAAACCAAGATGAGCGGTCATTGTGGTGAACAAACACGCAGCGGCAGCTGCTCACACACGGGCAGGGCTGTGCTGTGCTGAGATGGCCAGTCGCAGCCAGAAGCAGCACCAGGAAGCTTCCCCTCCACTGTGTCAGCAGGCTTCCATCACGGCCCGAGCCTGCCTGTGCCTCCAGGTCTGTGCAAGCTTGCCAGAAAGTTGGAAGAGCCCCTGAGAGCCCACTGCCCCTGGTGCCATCCGTATGGCTGCAGGCAGCTGAGCACTGGCTCAGTCCTGGAGCAGGGATGTCTGGTGCACGCATTTAGAATGCAGGTCCCAGGCCCAGCTCAGATTTTACTACATCCAGGGGATAGGGCCTGGACTCTATATTTAATTAATTTCAATTTAACTTATTTATTTTTGCCAGTTCTGGGCTTGAACTCAGAGGCTGAGCACTGTCCCTGAACTTCTTTTGCTCAAGGCTAGCACTCTACCACTTGAGCCATACCACCACTTCTGGCTTTTTCTGTTTCTTTTTCTGTGGTACTGAGGAATCGAACCCAGGGCTTCATCCATGCTAGAGAAGCACTCTACCACTAATCCACATTCCCAACCCCTGGACTCTGCATTTTAAACAAACTCTCCAAAAGCTAAATTTCAGGAGCCCAAATCCTCCCTTTTTTTTTTTTCTTTTTGGCCTGTTATGGGTCCTGAACTCTAGGCCTGGGTGCTGTCCCTCGGCTCTTCAGCTCAAGCCTAGCGCTCTACCACTTGAGCCACAGTGCCACTTCTGACTGTTTCTGCTTATGGGGTGCTGAGGAATCAAACCCAGGGCTTCATGCATTCAAAGCAAACACTCTACCACGGAGCCACCTTCCCAGCCCCAAATCCTCCCTTTTCTTAACCAGGAGAGCCATTTGGTTCCTCCAAAAAGAAATGATCTACAGCCAGTGTCCCTCTGACTTCCTCCTCTACTTCTTGGACTCTCTGCCCCCCAACTGTGGGCTGTCCACGTGTATACTGGGGCAGGGGGCAGGCTCACCCCGGCAGGCTGCTGAGGCACAATGAGAGGCATCAGGCCGTCCGTGTAGAAGGACTCTGCAGCCCAGCCTCGGGTCAGGGCGCTGCCCTCCCACAGAAAGTTCTGCTTTCCTTCAGGGAGCTGCAGGCACCAGCCTGCCTTTTCCAACTTTTTCTTGATTATCCTGCTGGCAGGAAGCGGTGGTGTGCTGGTCAGTTCCAACTCTTCTGCCAGGAGCTGGGCCACGCGATCCTCGATCTGTCTCCCTGTGGTCTCAGAGTCCTGGACTAACAACTGTGGTGGGGACAGCAGGACTCTCTTCTTACGACTCTTCTTCTCTAAAGATAAACAGAAGGGACTCAGTCAGCAGTGGATCTGTTTACCATCCTGGTAGCCGCCAGCATTAGCTCTCAGCCAGGCAGTCACACATACCTGCTCCTAGCCTTATCTGCTCTGAAAAAGCACTTTCCAGGGTGAGCGTAGGCACGGCGGGACTCTGCTCCATCTCAGACCGGGATAGAGCCATGGCCATCAGCATGTCTTCAGATAGATGCTCTGGCTTCACCTTCTGCCTCTTCTGCGGCTCCTTGTTTGTGGCTCTTTTCCGTTTCAGACCTCCGGTGTAGTCGAAGCTAAAAGGCAGACAAAGTGAGGGCTTGTGCCGAGTCCTGCCTGTTTTCCTTGGAGCGGAGAGGGAAGGGATCAAGGTGTCCCTCACACACTGCCAGCATCTTTCTGGTATCGGTACCAGGCTCAACTCCGGGCCTTGCACTTGCTTAGATTGCTACCATTTGAGCCACATCTCTGGCCCAGAAGCCATCAACACCTTAGACTTTCACTGTGCTGATTCTATTCCACATGAGCCCATTTAGTCCTGGGCCAGAGGTTCTCAGCACGGTCCTGACACGGGAGGGTCTGGGCTGTTTTTTTGGCAGATGGACAAAGCTGTCATTGGTATCTACACAGCCAAAGATTCTGGTGAAGCCACTGCTCTATAACTCTTAAGTTGGCTCCCTGGATATCCAGCAGATTCTGTTACTGAAATCAGATGCACTCAGAGGCAGCCCTGGCCACACTGGCCACGCGGGGGCCCTCGCCTCCTGCAGACCCCCTGGAAGTGGCTCTGTCCACCTGCTCTGGGAGCTGAGGTACAGCACCCCTGACTCCAGGGAGGTTGGCAGGAAGGAGTCTCTCTGGCTGGAGAGGACCCCCGCTACCTGCATGAGCCGCAGTGAAACAGGAGGTGCGGTGGGAAGTAGCTGTGAGCACAGACTCAGATTTCCTGCACCGCAGGTGTTGCCACCCTCTGTTTTGCAAAATCTCATGCTCTTCCCTGGAATGGGAAGTCCAGACTTTCTCAGGTGAGGCCTCAGACCTAAGCAAGCCGTAACTCAAACCCAGCTTTCTGAGAACCTGCATACTAACCACAGCCAGCAAGCGGGAAAGAAGCGGCCCAGGGGCCGGCACCCTGCCTTCGTGAGGGCAGAGCCTGGGCTCAGGGACTCGGTGGAGGAGGCCTTTAGGCCCGCCCATGCCTGTTTTTGCCAGGGAATTCTGGCCACCGGAAGCTGAAATGCCTGGGCGTGGCTTAGCAGAGGGAGGTACAAGGTCCCCTTGGGGGTGCTCAGTTTCTGTAGCTTTCTACTAACCAGCCTTCTAGAAGGATCCATATACATCTAGTTTCATTACTTAGAGGCATTTTTAAGGTAGACATATTTAATCTGAGAGGCAAGCAACTGGCTTGGATAGTCTGTTGTAAGGCTTCAAGGCTTTCAGTCCTAAGACACTCCTGGATATGCTAAATATAGAAGGTTCCAGGGCTGGGAGAAACCTGTGTCCTCTGTGATCTCAGCTGTGGCCCAGCCAGAGACCCTGAGCCATGTGCAAGGCAGCTGCCAGGAAAAGCAGCCACCACTTTTAACTTTCCCTTCACTCTTGCTAACTGTGCAAAGAATTCCCAAACATGGAAAGGCCTGAGGCCTTTGTTCCCTGTAAAGCTCTGCTCACTCAGTGTCCTCGGCAGGAGGGAGCCGGTAGGCGAGGCTGACTCTTGTGCCTGGGGTATGCATGCCAGGCACCTGTGTCCCAGCTGTTGGAGAAGACTTTATTTTAATATGCATGCATTCATTCACGTAAATTACAACATAAATAAGCTCAACTTTGGTTCTGTTTAGTCAACTCTTTGAACTCTGTAGAATAATCTGACACTAACAATATGAAAATCAAACTAAGTTGGAAATGGAGGTTAAAGCAAATGCCAGATCCAGCCAGGAAAATTGTCAGATTGTGGGACCAGCAACGTCTTTAGGAACTCGAAAACACCAAAGGGTCCTTTAGCAACCATCCTCATGCACATGCAGACCCCTCTCCCTCAACCCCTTCAAGACTGGACTTGATTTCCTCCCCAAATGTGTAACTTCCAGGACCCATGAGGACCCTCCAACATGACAGTAAACTTTTCCAAAAAGTATAATTTGAGCGCAAGCGCTGCATTTGCCTCGTCTTACCTGGGAGCAGGAGGGTTGCTGCCCGCCCTGGGCTCAGCTGCCTGCAGCCGCACAGCCTGCAGCAGGAGCTGCGGCCCCACCTCCATCCTCACCGCGCACTGCTTCAGGTGACTGGCTCGGCTCTTGGGGCTGAGGAATGGTTTGCCACAAATGGGGCATTCTGGGATCTGGGGTGCAGAAGACTTCTGTATCCCTTCAGCCTCATCCAAGCACCTGGAGGAAGTCAGCACATACAGGAGCCGCCCTCCAGCAGTGTGGACCGCAGTGCACGCCGGTCCCACACCAACAAGGGCTTAGCGTGGCCCAAAATCAATCTCCTCACAGTCTGCATGTCTCCTACGGGTGGCTCTGGATGACAAACTAGGTATGTGTTAGCAGCGGTAGCCAGAAAGAACAAGGGCAGATACTCCGAAGTATGGCCCCAAAGAACTGAAAATACTTGTTCAAGTATATAAAACTTATGTCCACAGCAGCTGTAATCAATGAAACACTAAAGATAGAACTAAATGTCCACCAAAGAGGATAAACATATGTTCTAGCCGTACAATGGGCTATTACTCAGCTGCAAAAAATGAATGATACCCATATATGCCACACGGATGAACCGTGAAGACTCTGTAAGTGGAAGACACTACTATGATTCCACTGAAACGATGCATACAGAATTGGCAAATCCAGAGTGACAGACTTTTTCCAGGAGTGAGGAGCAACAGTATGAAAGACTGCCAAGAGTGGGGAGGTTTCTTTTTGGGGAGATGACAAAAAAATCCAGAACTGGTAGTGGCAATGGTCGCACAACTTTGTCAGTGCCAAAACAGCCACCGATGAATTGTGCACTTGAAGTGGGTGACATACATACGTCAGTTTTACAATGGCATCTCAGCAGAGCTATGTGTGATGATAGCAAGGGCATCCTCAGCTGTGTGGTATTGTCCGGCGGGGGTGCCCCTACCTGTTCACATGCTGCTCCCTGCGGGTCACGGTCATTGTCGAGAGGTTCTTGTGGCACATTTGGCAGAAGAACAACCCCTTCTCCTCCAGGCCGTCGTCAAACACGGAGGTGCCTTCCCTTCCAAGCTGCTGCTGCAGGGCCAAGGCCACCGCAGCGTCGCTGTCTGTGGCAGGGAGTCTGGGCTCAAACCCTGCAGAGAAGCATTCAAGATCCATGAGTACGGCCTGGAGGCACCCCCAGACCTCTGCGGTGTGGACACAACTTGGTAGCACTGGTGTTGGAGGTGTTGCCAAGTGAGGAGTGGGCACTGTGAGCTCTGAGAATACCTCTTCCCAAGTTTCAGTACACACGGATTGCCTAGGGAGCTTGTTAGAGGGTAATTTCAGAACCGGTTGCAGTGGCACAAGCCTGGAATGCTAACGTGGGAGGCAGAGACGGAACTGCAGTTCAAGGCTGGCCCATGGAATTAAGTCTGTGAGACTTGAGCTGGGAAGGTGGCTCAGTGGTAGAGTGCTCACCTCCCATGCATGAGACCCTGGGTTCGATTCCTTAGCACCACATAAGCAGGAAAAGCTGGAAGTGGCGCTGTGGCTCAAGTGGTAGAGTGTTAGCCTTGAGCTGAAGAGCTGAGGGGTAGCGCCCAGGCCCAGAGTTCAAGCCCCATGACCAGGGGGAAAAAAAAAAAGTCTGTGAGACTCCATGTGAGCCAGTGTCTGGGAACAGTGGTATGTGTTTGTCACTCCAGTTACGGGGGAAGCACAATGGCAGGGTACAATGGCCAGCTTGAGTGTAAAAAAGGAAAAAGAAAAAAAAAAAAAGCAAGGGACTGTTCTACAAGTCTAACCTTAAGAAATGACTCAAAGCTGTGGGCTAAAAAATACAAAAACTAAAAAGGAGCTGGGCACTGGTGGCTCACGCCTGTAATCCTAGCTACTCAGGAGGCTTAGATCTGAGGATCGCAGTTCAAAGCCAGCCCGGGCAGGAGAGACTGTGAGACTCCTATCTCCAATAAACCACCAGAAAACCGGAAGTGGCGCTGTAGCTCAAGTGGTAGAGTGCTCGCCTTGAGCTGAAGAGCTGAGGGACAGCGCCCAGGCCCAGAGTTCAAGCCCATAACCCAAAAAAAAAAAAAAAAACTAAAAAGGAGCCTATATGAGCTGCAGCAAAGTGCAGCATGTGAGCTTATCCTGAAGACCTGTTCAGATAAAGCCCACAAAAGATAGCCTGGAATTCCTGGACAACTGGGGAAGGGGGAATATAAAGTAGACATCAGGCAGTGTTATGAGTCAGGCGTAATGATAGAATTGTGGCGATGTAGGAGCGTCTGAGGGTGAAATCTCATGATGTCTAGCTTTTTCAGTTGATGCAGAAAAAAAAAAAAGGCATGTTTGTAGAAACACAAAAAATACGTGGAGCATTCTAAACCATTTTGGCCCAGATTGCTGCCCAATTCATAATCACAAGACAAGATCTGAGAAAGTAAAAGGAAAAAAATTTGTGTGTGTGTAGGTATCTGTTACATCTGAAAGAAAGCTACAGGTGACTCAGTTGTTTGTTTTTTTGTTGTTGTTTGTTTTTTGGGTCTGGTCATGGGGCCTGAACTCTGGGCCTGGGCGCTGTCCCTCAGCTCTTCAGCTCAAGGCTAACACTCTACCACTTGAGCCACAGCGCCACTTCTGGCTTTTTTCTTTTTGCTTATGTGGTGCTGAGGAATCGAACCCAGGGCCTCATGCATGCAAGGCAAGCGCTCTACCACTGAGCCACCTTCCCAGCCCTGACTTTAAGGCAAATTTTTCTAACAAAAGGGGAAAAAAAAGGAGGAAAGGGCATCCTATCAAGAAAGCTGAGGGGTAGCTCACGCGGCGCCTTTATTATGGGGCCACATCCGATGCAGCAGGGAAGGGAGGTGCCGCACAGCAGCCCCGTCCACAGCAGGAATGAACTCTGGCTCCTTCTGCCTCACCTCCTCCAGAACTAGAATTCCTCTCTTTGGGAAGACAGAACATGCTTGTCATACCGTTTCCTGCCACAACCTCCTCATAAGGGCTCTCTGGGCCTTCTTCTTCTAGGGCAGCCCCAAGGATGTTCTCTTCGGAAGCATGACTCAAACGCTCAGGGTCTACTCTCTTAAACTGTTGCATCCGCTGGACAGCCAGCTCCGCGGCACGGCATCTGGATGGACCTGGCCTGGCTGCTGTCAAACAGGATGCGGCAGGCTGGGAGTCACCATCAGGAGCACTCTCTGGCAAGGAGGAAAGCATTTGCAGCAGCTGTTCTCTCTGGACAAAGAAAAGACTTTCCCCCAGACGTAAGTGAGCCTCAAGCCTCCAAGGGGTTCTTTGCCAATGCATTTAGGCTTGACTTGACTTGCACGCGGTAGCAGGACCGATGGCTTGTTGGAAATCAATGACTGGGGACTGGGGAGTGAGTGCTGAGCAGCTTGGGGGTTCTTTTTTTTATTTTTTTGGTCCGGTCGTGGGGCCTGAACTCTGGGCCTGGGTGCTGTCCCTCAGCTCTTCAGCTCAAGGCTAGCGCTCTACTGCTTGAGTCACAGCGCTTCTGGCTTTTTTCTTTTTGCTTATGTGGTGCTGAGGAATCGAACCCAGGACCTCATGCATGCAAGGCAAGCACTCTACCACTGAGCCACCTCCCCAGCCCTTGGAGGTTCTTTCGGGGTGAGGCTGCGATTGCACAACTCTGAATGTACTAAAAAGTATACTTTCAGAGTGCATTTTAGGAATGCGAAAAACATCTCAGTGAAGGTAGTATGGCAGAAATTTTCATGACAAATGTTTATCTCGTTCTAGCTCAGTTCTATCACCGGGGATCCACAGATGGCCTTCAGTGGAGGTCCTGAGGTCTCTGAAGCTGGGTGTCCACCCCACAGTACATACGGGCGGATCAAGGGCAGCGTGAGGGCCAGCAGTGGCTCGGGAGGAGCTACAGCCCTGACCAGGAAAAAGTGTTCCCTTAGAGCAGGAAGTGAAGAGGAGGAAGATGTAAACCAAACTCAGGAGCCCAAACTCTTGTGGTATGTTTGACATGCAAGGATGGTGCTCAGCTGTGTGTGACAGATCTATGGCGTGATATGCCAAGAGTAGCTGGGCAGGAAAGCTAAGCTTTACACACACACACACACACACATGGGGGAAAAAAGAATAAAAGATCTCTGCACACCCTTCAACAGCCTTCTTAGCAGCCTAATCAAATTGGCTACTTTGGAAGGATTTCAAGAAAATATGAAAAGTGGCATGTAATCCTGTCAAGTACATCATGCAAATATTCTTAGGAAATTCTCAAACAACTAAGGGCTCTAAATATAATCATAAAGAAAATTCACAAAGGGATTATGTTTTCCATGACTGATATTTGCAACAGGAATGGGCAAGCTAGTTCCAGTTCTGGCTGCTGGTTTTTTGTCAATACTTATCTTGGCATAAGGCCTCATCCGCCCTTCTCTGTCAGGTCTACAGCTGCGGTCAAGCCCACCCCTTCCTCTTCTCCACCCCCCTCTGCATCCATGCGACCCTGGACACTTGCAGAAGCCCCTGCCAGTGTCAAAGTCTGCACAAGCCTCTCTGATAATATACAGTGTACTACCTGCACAGAACCTGTGCGCATCCTTCCACGTTCCTTACATCACCTCTCCTTTCACAGAACAGCTACAACACTATGTAACTAGCAGTTATCCTGTATTGCTTAGGGAATAAAGGGAGCACTTGTTACATACACAGGTAAGTTTTTCTCAAGTGTTTTCCACCTGAGGTTGGTTGAATCCTCAGATCTAGGACTCACAGCTAAGGAGTACTAGCTATAGTTGCAACACAGTTTTTTTGTGTGTGGGTGTGCTGGTCCTGGAGCTTGATCTCAGGGCCTGGGCATTGTCCTGAGCTGCTTTTGCTCAAGACAAGGGTTCTACCACTTGAACTACAGCACTGCTTCTGGCTTTTTCTGAGTATTTTATTGGGAGACAAGAGTCTCACTTTCCTGTCCAGGCTGGCTTCAAACCGTGAGCCTCAGATCTCAGCCTCCTGAGTAGCTAGGATTAAAGGCCTGAGCTACTAGTGCCTGGCTTTTCAAGGTTTTCTGATCCTGTTTTAAAACATTACAAATCACTTCTCATAGGGCTGGGAAGGTGGCTCAGTGGTAGAGCGCTTGCACGCATGAGGCCCTGGGTTCGATTACTCAGCCCCACATAAGCAAAAAGCCGGAAGTCGCTGTGGTTCAAGTGGTAGAGCGCTAGCCCTGAGCTGAAGAGCTGAGGGACAACACCCAGGCCCAGAGGTCAGGCTCCACGACCGGACCCCCCCCCCAAAAAAAAAAATCACTTCTCATGTCCTCTGGAAAGGTCTAGAATAACTCTAGCTTGGTTACCTGTCCAGATGTTCTGTGCCTTTTCCGAGAGCACAGGAAAGTCTGGAGCAGGAGCAAGCACATCATCTTCTCCATTCACGGCGGGAGTGGGTTCGCTTTCTTGTGACTTGATTGCTCCTTGCTGTTCAGTCCTAGTGGCCTGGCTGTGTGGAGGAGGTTTCTTCTCCACAATGCCTTGAAAGGTCTTCTTGGTAGTAGGTTGTTTGGTCTTTTTCAATTTGTTTCTTATCTGAGTGCTGTTTGAGGTCTTTTGTGGTTTCTTTTCTGCAAATACTTCTTTAGTTCCATTTTTTTTTACCCTTTGGAAAAAGCTGGCACAGAGTTCTTTAAAATCATCATCAGACTCATCCATCATCTGACCAGTTTTAAGGCCCTCAGACTGATCTTTAGGAGAGCGAGGGCCAATCTTGGAGCATATCCACAGCCAAGAAACCAAACCTGTGCTTAACCGAGCTGAGCTTCCTCCTCCTGACGTCCCCCTGCTTCTCACCCAGCCACTGAAGTGCGCACAGCTGAGCTAAAAGTATTGTGTTCCTCTCTGTAATTATTTAAATATCTTTCTGCAAATTGGACCCACAGTTAAATAATAGGTTTAAAGCCTCCCTCTGTTACAGGTTCATAGCTGAAGAGTATCTTGTTGTCCAACAGCTGCCTCTGAGCTAGAATATGTATGAACGTGGCATTCAGATGATTCTCCCAAATCTCCATTTCTCATAAAGGACGTGGGTTCATTCAACTTCACATCTGTAGAAAATTAAAAGCATCAAAGTGTAACTAGACAATTGCTAATTTATGCTATCCCCCCCCCCCGAAGGTAAAAGAGCATGTGAGATAGGGCAAGTCTCCAGAGTAACAATTCTGTCAAGTGTGTGGCACCACTTGGTTAACATGGACCTACCAGACAACAGACACCTGCCAACAGGCAGAAAAATAACGTACATCATGGGAGAGTGGTTTTTACTGAAAGCTGGAAAACAAACTCCATGAAGGCAAGCTGTCACAGAAGCGGGATGACCACCAAGTTTATGGACCCTATCTCCTTACTCTGGCCTAACACCACCCCCAGTTAAAAGATTTATCAGCAGAAAAGGGCTACAATGATTGATATGCCCCTGAACATTCATGGGAGAGGAAAGGCCACTTTTCTCCATCTTCTCAGGTACTGATGACTACAGTGAAGTCTATATGCAATGTTTGGGTTTGGAGGAAAAAAAAACCAACACAATGATCCAATGGCAAAAAGTTCCTCATATCAAATATAGTAATACAGTCCCCACTGCCCAGGAAATATGATTACTTATTTAGTTTTTCAAAACTGGACAGATACACTAACCTAGATTCTGCTTTGTATTGGCTGGCCCTTCTTTCAGAAGCTTCCTCTAATCTTTTTTTTTCCTTTTACTTGGCTTTTTCTTTTTTTGCTTGTCGTGGGGCCTGAGGGCCTGGGCGCTGTCCCTTGTGCCACAGCGCCACTTTGAGCTTTTTCTGCTTATGTGGTGCTGAGGAATCGAATCCAGGACCTCATGCATGCAAGGCAAGCAATCTACCACTGAGCCACCTTCCCAGCCACTTCTGGCTTTTTTGGAGTAGTTTATTGGAAGATAAAGAGTCTCATGGACTTTCTTTCCCAGGCTGGCTTTGAACTACAATCCTCAGATCTCAGCCTCCTGAGTAGCTAGTTTTGTAGGAGTGGTGGCCTTGCCAATTTTTAAGTGGGTCCTCTCCACTCCCCTTTGATCTCTCTCTCATCACGTGTGGTTTTCACGGGTTATAAGCATACATAACACATAACATTTATTGTATGCTGTGTGTGCCAGACATGATTCCCATTACTGTTAGTTCATTTCATCCTTAAAACAATCCTATACAATACAATCTACTCATCATCCTTTCTTTACAGGACCAGAAACAAGCAGGACGAACTGGCTCAATTCACAGTGTTTGAAGTGGCAGGGCAGGGAATAAAAAACTGAGGTAGTGTGGTTCTAGCCTACCAGTGAACGTGTGCGTGTGTGTGTGTGTGCATGTGTGTATCTGCCAGTCCAGGGGCTTGAATTCAGGGCCTGAGCACTGTTTGCTCAAGGCAGGCACCCTACCACTTGAGCCACAGCGCCACTTCCAGCTTTTTCTGAGTATGTGGTGCTGAGGAATCGAACCCAGGGCTTCATGCATGCTAGGCCAGCACTCTGCCACGGAGCCACCTGCCCAGCCCCCCAGCGCTTATATTTTTATTCATCAACTTCTCTGTCTCCAGCGAAGTCAACACTTTAGGAGGGCACAACGTCCGGATCTATTTCATTTTACTTGGTGTTTGTTCTCCTTGGATAATGAACAGCTGGACGAGTAAGTGCTCAACAACCATCTGTTGAATTCATGAACTTCAAAGAGCGTGGTGACATCGGAGGGGGGGCGGGGGAGGGGGGGCTGCGGGGCTGCGGGGCCCGGCACCGCAGGCCCGTTTGGCACGCAGGTTCCACAGGCCACTAGAGTGCTCGTGTCTCCGCTGCGGACCACGGTAACGGATGCCTCCGGGCTGCCAGCCACCGGGCGGCGCGGGGACCGGGACCCG